GGAAGGGCTTTGAGGGTGGTGTTGGAGGGTTACCAGCCAGTATGATCGGGGTGGGGGTGGGGGCCTTTCCTGGGGAATTCTTGGAGTGTCAAGGCTTGAGTTAGGAGCGGATTTGATCTTAGAGGAACAGCACAAAGGTCGTGTGGCTGGAGATTCCTGAATGAGGAAAGGAAAGGTCGCATGTGTGGTTGGATTTTATTCTGGGGGATAGGACACCTCTAGGATAGTTTTATTTATTTATTTATTTATTTATTTATTTATTTATTTATAAGGTTTTAATTTTAAGTATCTACACCCAAATGTGGGGGCTTGAGCTTACAAGCCTGAGATCAAGAGGCATGTGCTCTATTGAGTGAGCCAGCCAGTTACCCTGCCTCTGGATGGTTTTAGATGGAGCCGTGGTTTGTGTACCTGGCTGCGGTGTGGAGGGTGGCCCAGGATAGGGGTGCTGTGGCAGGAGGTGGGGGGCCCATGGGAGCTCTTACAGGCTCTTGGTGGGAAATGATAGGCACGGGCAGTATTTATCAGCCATTTTTTTCTTTCTCATCCCATAAGGAGCCATTTTAGACATTCCCTAACCCCCTCCCCCCCAACAGTCTCCTGTGAATTTTTTCCTTAATGGAGATGAAATTCACATGACCTAAAATTAACCATTTGAAAGCGAACATCTCCATTACTCCAAAATAAAATCCCGTGAAGTAATTAAGCACTCCTCTACTCCCTGGCCACCGACCCCTCGTGACCGTCAGTCTGCACATGACTTGTATGGATTTGCCTGCTCTGGGTATTACATTTAATCCAAATCATACAAAATGTGGCTTTCGTGTCGGCTCCTTTCACAGAGCGTATGTTTTCAGTGAATGATGCAGCATGCATCAGACCTTCATTCCTTTTTATGGCTCAGTAAACGTTCCACCGAGGACTCCAGAGTTTGTCTATCCGTCGATGGACGTTCAGATTGTTTCCACCTTTGAACCGTGGTGAATAGTGCTGCGATGAACGTTGGTGTAGCAAGATTTGAGTACCGCTTTTCAGTTCTTTTGGGTTTATACCTAGGAAGGGACCCTCATGAAATTTCAAAGTACTGTATTTCTTTTTATGTACTGCATGTGTCTGTGTTTTATACATAAAAAGAGTAAGAGAGTTTTTCACCCCCCGGTCTCCATCCCCACTACTATCAGCCTAATGCACACATTCTCAAAGGTGGTTCTGGAGAACAGGGGGGTGAAAAACTCTCTTACTCTTTTTATGTATAAAACACAGACACATGCAGTACATAAAAAGAGTAAGAGAGTTTTTCACCCCCCTGTTCTCCAGAACCACCTTTGAGAATGTGTGCATTAGGCTGATAGTAGTGGGGATGGAGACCGGGGGGAGCTTGGGGGTATATTTTGGACGCGGTGTGCAGGGAGGGGCCTGGCTGAAGAGTGGGGTAAATTGGGGCAGGAGAACAAGGGAGGAATTAGGGCAGTTTAGACGTGTTTGGCCTTGAACATCTAGGTGAGTGGTCATAGCGTTAACTGGTATGGGGAGGTCGAGGCAGGTACATAGTGTTTCACAAACTGGGGAGGGGGGACGTGTGGCACTCCGGGGTGGACAGGGGCCATCGTGTTCCCCAAGGAGAGTTCTGCGTGTTGGAACCCAGGGTTGCTAGGTGACCCCATGCTGTCCCTTCTCTGATTACAGGAAGCATTTTAGTCCCAGATGTCTGTGAGGGGGTCCCTGCCCTTTGCTGGCTGCATGGAGAGTGAACCAGACTCGTACCCGTGGGGAGCCAGTGTTCTCCAAACACCTTTATTCTTGCCATATCCTGGTGCTATGTTTAAATTAAAAAATTTAGAACATAGTTCTTAAACCTTCAATACTTATGTTTTATTAACAGGGGAAACTTTATGTGCCTGTGAAATTAAAGACTTGTTTTTCCCGTTATGTTTTAACTACAGAATTGCAAAAATAACGACTTTGCCTGTGTTCTTGCTAAGTTTCCCTGTAGGGACCACAAGGGGGCAGGGCTCTGTGAGACTGCCTGCTGGCTTCCCTTTCCTCCTTTTTTTTTTTTTTTTAAATTTAAAATATTGATTTGATAGAGAGCAGGTGCGAGCGAGCCTGCGTGAGCAGGTGAGGGACCGAGAGAAAGAGAAAATCCCAAGCAGGCTCTGCACTGTCAGCACAGAGCCTGATGCGAAGCTCTAACTCACGACCCTCGAGATCACGACCTGACCTGGAATCAGGAGTTGGACGCTTAACCAGTTGAGCCCCCCCCCAGGCGCCCATCCTTCCTTCCTTTTTTAACATGAGCTGTTATGAAGCAGGGAAATGCGGACCCACGTTTTTACTTCCGCCTACCCTTTTGGGTCAGACTTTCTTGACAAAGTTCCTCGCAGTCTACGCAGTACCTTGACTGGTGTAAGACCCTTCCTGCTACCCCTGTTTGCTGGTTCACGTGAGAGAATACATTAGAGAGGCACTGGTCTTTAGTCCTCGCAGAGAATATAGGACACTGATGTTTTCAGCCCCTGCAAATCTCTTTTGGAAGGAAGCAGATAGAATACGAGTGAACGAAAAATAAAATCCGACTACTAAAGATTTTATCGGTAATACTTAAATCTTTGGAAATGCCTTTATCTTTGGTGATTCTTATTGTGTGTGTGTGTGTGTGTGTGTACCAAGCACTCTAATTCTGCTGGTTGTTACGGTACCTGGTTACAGGAACAGTGGTAGTGACAGTAAATTGAAGCTCTCATTTGAGAGAGTGTTGTGTGCCCAGGGCCGGACATTTGTTCATCCTTACAGTGAAACTAAGTTAATTAGCATTAAAAAAAACCACCACCAACAAAACTTGATTCTCAAAATAATGTGGAGCATCGATGGAGCATTTGCTAAGGACCACTTGACGTGGATTAGCTCCGATGAGGTTCCCCACAGGCACACCTGTTTCATCCCTTTGTGAATTGATCCACCTCTGCTCTGGAGGTGTTTGGAGCCAAAGATTATTTGTCTCGGTGGTGGGGCAGGGGCGAGCAGCATCCTTGGTCTGCACCTATTAGATGTTGGTAGCACCCTCCCCTGCCCTAGTTGTGACAGCCAAAATTGTCTGCAGACATCGCCCAGCGTGCCCTGCCTGGATGGCAAAATCACTCCTGGCTGCCTGGCATCTGGGTGGGCTCCGTCAGTTAACCGTCTGACTCTTGATCTCAGCTCAGGTCTTGGTCTCAAGGTTGTGAGTTCAAGCCCCATGTTGGGCTCCACGCTGGCCGTGAAGCCTACCTAATTAAAAAAAAAAATCACTCCCGGCTGAGAACTGCTGGTTTAGGTGGTTGAAGCCAACGGCCTCGAGGTTAACGGGGAAATAGGAAGCGATGTTATACTAATAGCAAATAATAATATAGTGCTTCTCTGATGCCAGCCGCTGTTTTGATGATTAACGTGCTAGATCCTTACAACTTGATGAGGTGGGTGCTTTTTACCAGTCCTTTCGTATTTTATTATCAGTGTCTCTCTTTGAGGCTACCAGGAAAGGAGATTCACGGAGCTCAGGGACCGTGCCCAAGGACGCCCATCAAGTCAGCTGCCAAGGTGGACTTCACACCTGGGGTCTGGCTCTCGCTGCGTGCCTGCCTCCATCCTCCCTGTGTCTAGTCTTTCCCCCTCTATCCATTAAAGGTAGCTTTGGTAGGTCCTTGCACTAGAGCCGAGGGAGCCCTGCATACCGACTGGCTGAGTTTCACCCATTGGATCCTCACTTTGACTCTACCCCCATATGGCGGGTGAGGAAACTGACGTGACCATCTGCCAGCGTGAGCACTGTTTGAAGTCCCCGGGACGTCCTGATTCGTAACGCCGTTGCCATCGACAACTTTCCCTTAAGGATCAGATCACGGCAGAGTCCGTGTTTTCCTGTCCATCGGAGCAGGGCTGGCCATTATGTTGTCTCTAGGAGCTCTGTAACAGACAGGACAGTCCCCATAATGGCAGGCTGTGTAGGCAAAGGGGCAGGATCTCCAGGACGCACAGCGCATCTGAACACTCTTGTGTTGTTATGTGGTTTGCTTTCTGTCCTGCCCACATTCAATGGATGAGGCTTAGGGGAGCAGTATGGAGGTAGCTTTAAGGTATTTAAAATAAAAAAAAGGTTTATTTTTAAAAAATTTGTTTTAATGTTTTTTTTTTTGTTTTTTTTTTTTTTGAGAAGAGAGATCGAGAGCGAGTGGGGGAGGGGCAGAGGCAGAGGCAGAGGGAGAGGGAGGGGGAGACACAGACTCCAAAGCAGGCTCCAGGCTTAGAGCTGTCAGCACAGAGCCCGACCTGGGGCTCCAACCCATGATATGTGAGATCATGATCTGAGGCGAAGTCAGATGCTTAACCGACTGAGCCACCCAGGCACCCTATGGTGTTTTTAAAAGACTCGGGCTTAGGTATGATTTTCTGTCCTCCTGTAAAAGTTTGGAACATAGTAAGGAGGGAGATCATTGACCAGTGACGCCCTCGCTCCATCTGGTGCTGAGTTTGGCTTCATTCTGCATCACGGAACCTTTGAAATGGGAAGCCAGAGATCTCCCAAGGGGTCGACTTGGCCCACGGCAGGTGCATTGGCTGTGCGAGCCAGCTCCCACATCTCCTATAAACGGATGGCATGCCATTTGTAAGCCTGGCTCCGGTCTCTGCATCTGGACTGTGCTGGGGGCCGCTGTAATCGCTATTTATTTTGAGATTTACACCCGTGAATGGGCCAAACCAATTTCAGTGGCAGCTTAGCCGATTTGTCTTAGAGCTTTGTGCTTAATAGAATGACTGGGGAGGCCTCCTTCCTTCACGGCTTAACATTGGGTTAAAGCCTGTGCTTGACATAAATGGCCGACCCTTCCTGCTGCGCCCCATCTGGGCACTTCTGGGGGCCTTGTTGAAAGCAGATACAATTTCTCCCCTCTCCCCCGACAAACAAGTTTTATTTGTTTATTCATTTGTAAATCTGTCTTTTAACAATGAACATCCTTTTTCAGCTTCACCAGCCTCTGCCAAGACGGGACAAGCAGGGAGTTTGTCCGGCAGCCCGAAAACCTTCTCTCCTCAAGCGTCCACGCCCATCACGACGAAAACGGACAAAACGTCTACCACTGGAAGCATCCTGAATCTTAACTTGGGTCAGTGGGGAGTTGTGGGAGCCTCTTTCTGTGGCATCTATGCATATTTTTGCAAGTTGTGATGTCCTCTTTTGGGTGTGGTTCTTGAGCTCTGAACAAAACCTCTCTCTGCGCAAAATATTAAAAAGGTATAGGGGACAAAGATGAAGGGAGAACGGTAAAAGGAGCAAGTAAGCGATTTCCTGGGGCTGGTTGATATGCAGAGTTGTTTTATCTTGACGGACCTTAGGCCAGTGTTTACAACGTTTTCTGGTTTTTACAAGAGTAACCCAGTTCTCGTGCAGGTGTGTGTGTGAGTGTATGTATATACATTTAAGGTTTTATACATGCACACACTTGATGCAAGTCGAGCTTTATGAATCAATATTTACCTTTCCTTTGTGCAATATATTCTGATATATCGTTTCCTTAATTTTCCTTTTCTAATTAAAAAAAAATGCCCATCTTTATCCCTGACTTAGTAGGGTCCCCCCTCCCCCCATTGCAGTTCTGTCAGTTGTTTCAAGAGCACTGCCTTCGGGCAGAGTCTTTAGCAAAAATTGGCACCAGAAATGCTAAATACCCAACCACGAAGTCATTTCATTGATTCGTTCCGTCAGGATTCTTGATTTTTATTGAGCATCTATTACACGCTGCGTGCTGTTTTAGACCCAGGGCAGAGGGTGGTGAGCAAGGGCCCTGCTCTTGTACCGAGCTGGGTTCTAGAAAGTGAGAGACAATAAATGGTAAGGAGAGAGATACCTAGAATGGCGGTGGTCTGGAAGAGGCAGCGTTGAGGGAAGGCCTCTTGAGAGGTGGTATGTGTTTATGTGTGTGTGCCGTTATTTATTTATTTGGAAATGTTTACTTATTTTTGAGACAGTGTGAGCAGGGGAGGGGCAGAAAGAGAGGGAGACAGAGAATCCCCTGCAGAGCTCAGGAGTCATGAGACTGTGACCTGAGCCTAAACCAAGAGTCAGACTGAGTTACCTAGGAGAGGTGGTATTTAAGCCTCGATTTGCATGACAAGAAAAACCAGCCTTGCCCATATTGGGAGGAGGAACAAAAAATTAGGGCCTTAGGGGTCAGGGATGTTGTAGGAATGGCAGGGAGGCCCAGGTGGCCTGTCCCAGTGGGTGAGGGGAAGAAGGTGAGGAGATGAGGTCCCGGAGCACTGGGACCCTGTGGACCCCGCAGACCCTGGTGTGGAGCCCTTTGAGCAGAGGAGGGATGGGAACTGAGCACTTTAGAAGGACCTCTCTGGGTGCTGTGTGGAGAATAGCCTATGTCAGGTGGTCCTCCCCAGAGATGGTTCCCTCACTCCCCTCCAGGGGACACTGGGCAATGTCTGGTTGTCACAGCTGGGGGTGGGGCTCGAGTATACAGGGTTTTAGGAAGAGGGGGACAGCCACCTGTGCAGAACGATGCTCGCACGTGAACCCCTAGCCCCTGGTGGCCAGGACCCTCCAGGTTCGTCTTGTCCTGCAATGCCATTTCAGGCGGAGAAACTAAGGTCTGGAGAGGAGGTTCCAGGTGCCCAGGACTGCAGGGTTCCAGGTGCCAGGCAGGTGGCGGGACTGGAGCAAGCCTGTGTCTGCAGGGAGGCCAGAGCCTGGCCCGCCCTGGCTCACCTGTTAGCACGGACTGCATGTGGTACAGCGGTCAGGGCCGTGGCTGGTGGGGACTCCTCACTCGAATGAAAGGGGACCCATTTGCTACTTTGGAATGTTCACAGAGCTTGCTTTCTCACGCCCTCCTTCCTCCTCCACACTCCGAAAAGGAACACTGTGCTGGGGCGTTCTCACTGTGTCCTCTCTGCCCGTCGTGAGTGGCGAGAATAGCTCCTTCTCTGAACCAGGTGGTCTTGAGTGTCCTCATGACGCGGTGGGTCTTTCCGCTTGGCTTACCCACGGCGGCAGTGAGAGATTTCTCCCTGTCTTGCGTTCTGGTGGGTGGGCATGGTGGAGCCTGAGAGGCTGCCCTGTACAGAAGACCCCGCCCCCCCCACCCCCCATGCCCCCCATCTCCTTCTGTGCTGGGACACGTGTTTTGTCAGTGGGAACCAAGGCATTGGGGATGTGGGCGTTTTATGAGCTGCGGGTTCAATTACCTAACGGGGAGAGGATCAGAGAGGGACTGGTGAAGTGTGAAATCAGATGGTGGAGGGAAATACTAAATAATCCTCGAGAGGTTGTCCAGGGATGGGGCAGGTGCTTTATATGGGCTTTTTTGGGTCTGGCATCCCTGCAACTACTCTTGAGCAGACAGAAAATGAGACAGTGCTCGGGAGGATGATGACATTATGGTATCTAACCAAATGGCATTTCGTTTAAAAAAAAAAAAAAAAAAAAAGCAGGGCCGCCTGGGTGGCTCAGTCGGTTGAACATCCGACTTCGGCTCAGGTCGTGATCTCACGGTCCGTGGGTTTGAGCCCCGCGTCGGGCTCTGTGCTGACAGCTCAGAGCCTGGAGCCTGCTTCCGATTCTGTGTCTCCCTCTCTCTCTGCCCCTCCCCCGTTCATGCTCAGTCTCTCTCTGTCTCAAAAATAAATAAACATTAAAAAAATTAAAAAAAAAAAGAGCAAAATTAGAGAAATGGCAAACAGGTGAGTGATTGTGGGGTTTGAGGTGGGGGAGGGCTTGATTCCAAATCACAGAGGGATTCTTTGGCAGAGGACGTGGCTCTGCATTCTGATGGTGGTTACACCTATCTGGGAGGTGTTAAAACACCCAGAACTGTTATTGTCCGCCCCTCCCCAAGTTTTACTCTCTGAAATCTAAAAACTATTAAAAAAACGACAGCAACTTTCAAGGTAGATGATAGCCCCATTTCAAAGATAGTGGACACTGGGGCACAGAGAAGCAAAGTCCTCTACCCAGCATCACGTAAGATTCGTGGTCAGGTTTGGCCTGCGGGCTCAGGCCTGTCTGCCTCGTAGTTTGTGCCTTCAGCCAAAATATGTGAACGGACACACTGCAAGACGGAGCCGTGTTTTGATGTTGGAGGGACCCTCGACACTGCGCTTGTCACGCTGTTTGATAAATTGGCCTAGCTGTAGGGGCGAGGGGGTAAGGTGAAGATTTCGAACGGGCAGCGCCGTGGAGGACAGAGTGCCTTTCTGACGGATGCAGCTCCCACAAGTTGAACCTGGGTTGTCAGACTCTCAATTTCCAAGAAAAATGCAAATCCACTTTTGTGTATGAACTCTCCTCGTTTTTGGAAGTTGCCAATGAATTGCATTAAAAATAAAAACTCTGGGGCGCCTGGGTGGCTCAGTTGGTTAAGTGTCCGACTTCAGCTCAGGTCATGATATTGCAGTTCGTGGGTTCGAGTCCTGCATCGGGCTCTGTGCTGACAGCTCAGAGCCTGGAGCCTGCTTCGGATTCTGTGACTCCCTCTCTCTCTCTGCCTCTGCCCTGCTCAGGCTCTGTCTCTCTCTCTTTCAAATATAAATAAGTGTTAAAAAATACAAAAAAATAATAAAAATAAAAATAACTCTAGTTGGCCAAAACACATAAATCCAACCCAAAGTACAAAAACCAGCCATCGGTCATCAGTTGGATACTTAACTATTCAAATTAATTTTGGTGCATGACAGAGGGGAAGGCTTCCCTCAGAGACTTCTCACCCGACTTGCTAATGCACAGGCCCCTCGTTTGCTCTCTCGTTTGCTGTCTTGGGCCTTCTCTCTGCTGTAAAGCAAGGAGCTGAAGCCTGGTGGATTGTTATAGTCCCTTTCTTTGACCGTATGAGAAATAAGTCCTAAATAAGCATGAGAGGAGGAAGGAAGGCCTGATTCTTTTCTTCTTCTAGACTCCTGTTTGCTTCTCTGGGAATCCCGTCTCCTCTTGTCGCACAGGGTGTTTGCTCTGGGCTGAACAAACACAGCGGTTCAGCAGTCCTGTTTGTGACACAAATGTGCCTGGATGCTCTGTTAGAGACGCTGACAGCAATGGGAACTTGTCAGACCCGGAGCGTTTCTGCTTGTTTATTCCTCCGCTGTCGCTGATGGGAGGCCTCCTTTCTGTCTCTGTGTCAAGTGATACCTTGAAGTCAGGCATCCTTTGAGAGTATGGATACAGAGCTGGGGGCTGAGGCTTCCTGCATGTTGCCTTTTTTTTTTTTTTCTTCTTTCTTTCTTTTTTTTTTTTTTTTTTATTTTTTTTTTTCAACGTTTTTTATTTATTTTTGGGACAGAGAGAGACAGAGCATGAACGGGGGAGGGGCAGAGAGAGAGGGAGACACAGAATCGGAAACAGGCTCCAGGCTCCGAGCCATCAGCCCAGAGCCTGACGCGGGGCTCGAACTCACGGACTGCGAGATCGTGACCTGGCTGAAGTCGGACGCTTAACCGACTGCGCCACCCAGGCGCCTCATTTTTTTTCTTCTTTCTAAAACAGTGGATGAGATGAAGAATGTCTCTTCTTGGCTTTTGATGGATGAGAGAACTTTTGCCAGGTCTCTGGTCTGGATGGTATTGTTCCCTGGAAGGAGCCGCCATTTTGTGGCTCCTGGAATTCCAGCTTTTGAACAGAGAAAATCGAGTTCTTTTTCATTGAAGATGAAACTGTGTTTTGCTTGTACAGAGTTAATTTTGTTGTTATAAGTAGTGCATGCATGTGGTGAGAAATTTCGAAAGACCAAAGGATGTTCAATGAAAAGCCAACCTGTCTGTAACCACCTGTCTGTCCCTTCTGACAGGTGACCACGGTTACCTCATTTTAGTCTTCTTGGGGAGTTCTATGTTATATACCAGGGATTTTCAACCTGATTTCTATTCCCCAAGGGGACATGTGGCACTGCCTGGAGACATTTTTTTTTTTTTTTTTTTTTACATTTACTTATTTTGAGGGTGAGCATGCGGGAACTGGGGAAGAGCAGAGAGAGAGGGAGAGAGAATCCCAAGCAGGCCCTACACGGTCAGCACAGAGCTGGATGCGGGGCTCGAGCTTGCAAACAATGAGATCATGATCTGACTTGGAACTCAAGAGTTGGACGCTTAACCAACTGAACCACCCAGGCACCCCTGGAGACTTTTTTTTTTTTTTTAAGCTTTTATCTTTAAGTAATCTCTATGCCCAATGTGGGGCTCGAACCCACGACCCTGAGATCAAAAGCCCCACGCTCCACCAGCTGAGCCAGCCAGACGCCCCTAGAAACATTTTTATTGTCACAACGGGGATGTGGGTGCTGCTGGCAATGGAGGCCAGGGATGTACTAATCATCCTACAAGGTGCAGGACAGCCCCCAGCCCCCCTCCTCCAGCCCCCACAACAAAGACTTATCCAGCCCCAAATATCACTAGCGCCAACGTTGAGAACCCCCAAGAACACATATATTTGTATCTGTGTTCCCTTTCCGTCTTTTCTCCCCACACCAATGCGGGTATCTTTTACTGGTTGTCACCGTCTTTGTCATTAAACAGGCTGGCTTTTCCACATCAGCACATAAAGATCTCTCGTTGTTTTTTAGCGGTTGTATTTTATTCTATTTCAAGGTGAACTGTTAATTTATTTACCCAGGCGCCTTATTTATCGACTCTAGGTTGTTTTGCTGTTGCCAACAGCTGAAATGAAGACCCTTTTACCCATGTGGGAGTATAGCCATAGGATGAATTCCTAGACGCAGAATCTTGGGTCAGAGGCCACGTGCAGTTGACATTTTGAGAGATGTTGCCAAATTGCCCTGCAAAGAGGTGGTTCTGATTTATGCTTCCTCCAGAAATGTAAGATCGTGTCTTTCTCCAGCGTTGGTGTTTCTTCTTCCTGGTTTCCATTTATAGCCGAAGCTGTCTTCGTATCAGCCAGAAAGTTCAAAATGTTGGCAGCAAAGGTGGATTCTGAAGATATTCCCGATATAGAAGGGCAGGGGGGGAAGAAATCCTGATAAGCGACTATCCGCTAAATGAGAAAGAAAAGCTCTCCTCTTCTCCCTGTGGAGGAGAAGAAAGTCAAAATGTGGTTGAAAATTTGAGAACGATAATTGGATGTGGCTCAACTCCTGAAGGTCTGATCCCAGGACCCCCCCCCGGCTTCGGGTGGTTTCTTGTTAGGAGCCACATTACCTCAGCTTATTGACTGGAGAAACCTGAACTGTAAAATAACGTGCTGTACTGTTTCTTCATTCCTCTTAATTATGAGAATTTCCGAGTCCAGTCTTTTAAAGGCTAAAGTTAAGAGATTGCATTTACTGTAGACACAGCCACACACACACACACACGATTATTCTGATGAGTTTGTAGGTCTCTTTCTATGAATCCTAAGGTTTAGAAAAGTGATACTGTTAACACAAAGGTTAAGGCAAATCAGAAGGAATTTTCTTTACTCACAGAGAAGATTGGTCTGGGGCGCCTGGTTGAGTGTCGGATTCTTGATTTTGGCTCAGATCCCACATGTCAGGCTCCCTCTTATCAGCGTGGAGCCTACTTGGGATTCTCTCTCTGCCCCTCTTACATGGTCTTGCGTGCTCTCTCTCTCAAAATAAATGAATTTTTTTTTTTCAACGTTTATTTATTTTTGGGACAGAGAGAGACAGAGCATGAACGGGGGAGGGGCAGAGAGAGAGGGAGACACAGAATCGGAAACAGGCTCCAGGCTCTGAGCCATCAGCCCAGAGCCCGACGCGGGGCTCGAACTCACGGACCGCGAGATCGTGACCTGGCTGAAGTCGGACGCTTAACTGACTGCGCCACCCAGGCGCCCCAAAATAAATGAATATTAAAAAGAAGACTGATGCAGCAGTTCTCAGTATTAGCGGCCAGTTAGAATCATCTTTTTTTTTTTTTTAATTACAAAAAAATTTTTGTTTAATGTTTATTTTTGAGAGACGGAGCACGAGTAGAGGAGGGGCAGAGAGAGAGGCACAGAGTCCAAAGCAGGCTCCTAGCCATCAGCACTGAGCCCAACGTGGGGTGGGGCTTGAACCCATGAACTGTGAGATCATGACCTGAGCCAAAGTTGGATGTTTAACCGACTGAGCCACCCAGCTGCTCCCCCCCATTTAAAAAATCTTAATATTTAAAACAAACAAAAAAACCAAAAAAATAAAATCTTAATATTTTTTTAAGTAGGCTCTATGCCCAATGTGGGGCTTGAACTCATGACCCTGAGATCAAGAGCTACATGCTCTGCTGACTGAGCCAGCCAAGGCGCCCCATCTGGGGTATTTTTTTTTTTTTTTGTAATGTTTATTTATTTTTAAAAGAAAGAGGTCATGAGCAGGGGAGGTGCAGAGAGAAAGGGGGACAGAGGATCAGAAGTGAGCTCTGTGCTGACAGCAACCAGCCGGATATGGGGCTCGGACCCCACGATCTGCACGAGATCATGACCTGGGCTGAAATCAGACGCTTAGTGGAGTGAACCATCCAGGTGCCCCTCTCTGGGTTATTTTTAAACGGCCAGTGTCCAGGCCTTCCCCCAGGCTAGTTAATTCACATTTTCAGGGAGGGGGACCGAGACGTTAGGATTTTTTTGTTTAAAGCTCTGTTGATTTCAGTTTGCAGCCAAGATTATGAGTTGGTGCGCTACAGATGGAAATGGCAAACGTTCAGGCCTTGGACCAAATCTGGCCCCCTACTTGTTTTTGTAAATAAAGTGTTATTAGAACACAGTGTCATCAATTTGCACATATTGTTTATGGTCACTTTGGTAGCAGAGGCTGTATGGCCTGCAGAGCCCAATTTGCTCTCTGACAGCAAAAGTTTGCTCGCTTCTGGTGTAGTAGATGGTGTTTTTTGTTTTCGTTTTGTTGTTGTTGTTGTTGTTGTTTTTTTGTTTGTTTTTGTTTTTTGTTTTTTGTTTTTTTTTTTTGGTAACTGCTGTGTCGAGTGTTCATTGAGGACACTGATGGAAAGTATTTTTGTGAGTTAATTTCTTTTACAACTTCATACTCGAAAAGCTGCCTTTTCCCTTAGGAGCCCAGTATCCTTTCTCATTTCTGAAAGTGGAAGTTATGAGACCGGCTTCCTATCCTTTACTGTTGAAATCCCTAAGTCGTTCTCATGGTGCTTGTTCTTGAATTGGATCTTTTTTCTTTCTCTGTTTCCTTGGTCGTCCTCCTTTGTTTTATTGTTGTCATTATTAGTCTCTGTTCTCTCTGTAAGGTGCATCTCCAGTAAATTTGCAGGAATATTCTTCCCTTGCTCCGAAATACCCCGTGCCTTCACCCCATCTTCCCTGTGCGCATCTCCAGTCCTGCACAAAGAAATGCACACGGATGCTCACACACGTGTATGCACACGCTCACAGGTGGATATGTTTTTAGAGCCTTAGAGCCTTTCTCGTAGGACAACGATGGTATCTGAGGGCTGCCCTGAGTGTGTTTTGGGGAAAGGGCCCTTCCTAATCCTAATCTCCCCTTGGTGGTGACCTCATTTCGGTGGTAAAATTAAGTCGGAGCAGTCTGTCGCTCTCGTGAGCTGTGAGAGGGTTGCGAGGGGTTCAGGGGAGGCTGCCTACCTCTGCTGACTTGAACAGATCTCTGGGTGTGCAGGGTCGAGGGACTGCCCCGTTCCTGCGTGACAGGGAAGGTGTGTGGGTCATGTTGGAAAATGGATACGAGCAGTGAGTGAAGGTTTTGAGCAGTCCTTGTGGTCCAGCCCTCAGACTACACACCGGGCTTCTCTCACAGCCTGGTGGGCATAGATGTGTTGGGGTGGGGACAGCAGGGGGTGGAGGAAGCCTGAGAGTGAGCTCATAGGTGGTGGCAACGGGCTCGGAGGTGGCCTCTCGTCTTTGCCCTTGATAGATGTTACGTGGTTTTCTGGGATTGGCCAGGGCAGGGCATATGCTCTGCATTCTGTGCCTAGGGTCAGTTGGAGAGGCAGGGGGATGCCAGGGGTGGCAGGCAGGTGGCAGCTAGTGACCCCTGCCTGTGAAGTCTCCTTGCTTCCTGGGCCTGTGCAGCCGCCTTCATTTTGTCCCTTTCTTCCGTTTTGGGGGACGCTGGAGGAGGTGGGGCGAAAGGAATGTAAGCAATGCAAACTTACAGACCCTTGGAATCTGGTCCAGTTGGTCATGTAAGGAGCCCATGGCGGAAGCGGGGATGGTGGCCAGACCCTTGGCCTTGAGTCCTCCATCGGAGACCTTTGCCTGGGATTAGGGTGAGGAACTTGGGCCGTATCTGAGCCAGAAGACAGAGGTTTAGTATCCAGGGCTGATCTGTTCACCTGTCTTCAGATGGATGTCTGAGCCACAAAGGAGCACAGCAGCTTGGCCGTAAGGTCTGCCTGTCTGACATTTACCCCACTTTTCTGGCTAATGAGCAGCAAAGTCTCCGTGGTAAATGAGGAAGCCGGACCCCCAGTTATGTGTATGTGTGCTCTGGGGGGACGGGGGCAGGGAGGCAGCACTCAGCGTCTGTTGGTTACAAGTCCTCTCGGATGTGGGCCTGGAGTTAAAAGCACACTCTGGCCAGATGCAGTGTGACTTTATCTGTTGACGCGGAGATTGACCGTATTACTGTAACCTTTGGCTTTCAGGATCCCTAATGACGCGGAGTTCGGCAGACAACCGTCTGGCTGGGGTTGTGCGTTTCAAACATTGAAAGCCACCCAGGCGACCGTTCAGCAGACACGGGTGTTGGCAGGCTATTACCAGCCCACCGTTGAGCAGATGATGTGGGGGCAAGGGTTTTGGGGTTTCTCTCTCCGCCATGCTCTCCCATCGTGTGTGTGCGAGAAGGAAGCTAAGTGAGGAGTGTTGCGTGTTCTTCCGTCCAGTGCGTGTCTGATGAGGGTGCGACCCTGTCTTCCAGATCGAAGCAAGGCCGAGATGGACCTAAAGGAGCTGAGTGAGTCGGTCCAGCAGCAGACGGCGCCCGTCCCCCTCCTCTCGCCCAAGCGGCAGATCCGCAGCAGGTTCCAGCTAAATCTCGACAAGACCATAGAGAGCTGCAAAGCACAATTAGGTACGTCCTTTGGTTTGCGCTCGCATCGTCACTGTGGTCGCCGTCGTCACCGTTAACTCTTTGTAGGGTCGCCGCCCGGATGAAGCCAGCATTGGATCCCGGCTGCTGTAGGGCAGCACTGAGCGTGCGACTCAGATACAGTTCCCCCAACGGCGGAGCCTCTCGGATTGGCTCGTCACTTGTTCACAAGGGTTCTTTGACATCCACCCAGTTTATTCTCTGGTGGTGGTAGCCTGCAGCCTCGAGGTGCAGGTGGTAGGGAAATTTGAAAGCGGAAGGGTCTTCCTGAGTTTGCCCCCACGCTCGCTGTCTGCACACGTCAGTGGCTCACCGTCCAGTCCAGTTCGTCCCACAAACAACCGACACAAACCCTTCTGCCGCAGACCGGGCCCTCCCCACCTGGCACACGCATCCTGCTTCTGTACCTGTTGCCTGCCTTCCTCTTCCCCGTGCTGCCTGCCTTCACACCGCCTACCTGAATTCTTTCCCTAAGGCTGAGCTCAGGCATCCCCTCCTCCAGGAAGTCTCCTCTGACTGCCCTCCCTCCCTATCTGCCCCCTCCTGTGGCACTTTATTGCTGGGGAACATCAGTGGTCACTTTGTGTGGGGGTGTCCCTCTACACCGGAAGCTAGACTGGAAGCTCCTTGAGGGCAGGGAGGTTGTCTCATAAGCATTTACGTTCTCCAAGGTACTTGGTCTTGTGTACATAGTAGGTGCTCTGGAATGTTTGTGGACTAAGTAAACAAAAGCAGGAGGGTGTTGGTGAAGAAGTAGGGGATGGCTGGCCTCAGGAGAGAGAGCCCCGCTAGGGTGAGGTTGAGAGTGTCTGTGGGTGCTCTGGACCTTAGAATGACTAAGCTGTGGTTAGGAGTCATCCAGAAGGGCCAGAGGAGGAATGGTTGTAATTTTGCAGGCCATTTAAGTATCTGCTTTGGGTCCTTCCATGCAGCTGGGCTGACTCCTTGATTTATTATTCATGTTAATAAGAATTTTAATATTTCTGTTTACTGACTGTTTCCTGCATACCTTGCACTGTACCACACACGGTGCATAGATTGCCCTGACAGGTGGGTCGATACCATTTTCGATCCCATTTTGCAGATGAAGAAACTGAGGCTCAGAGTGGTAGGTCCCTAGTTCAGGGTCACCAGGTGAATAAAGGCACAAGAGCAGGGTTTGAACTCGTGTCTTTTGGGCTCTGGTATGCAAGCTTTCCTTATCACATTTGTGGTCACACTTGTCCTCATATCTGACCGTATCTGACCTCGTATCTGGCTACAGTAGCATGAGCCTTAGGACCCAGAAGTTAAGACCAGATCTGAGTTTTTGGCTTTTGGCTTCTCCTGTTTTTGATGGAGCCCTGACGGAGGCAGATCTACTTCTGAGATGAGTCTGCTGGTGTCTGGTGCCCTGGGCTGCTCGTGGCTTTTGTCTGTTTGCGAGTTTCCTTTCTGTGTCTGGGTCTCAATGGTGACCCCACTCACGGTGACTGTTGTCCCAGAACGAAGGCGGTACAGATTTGAGTTTTCCTCTTTTCAAAATTTTAAGATACGCTATCATTAACCTGTGGCCGGACGACGCTCCTTACTGGGAGCAAGACACGTCAGTGGGTTGAGTGGAACATGCTTTCGCCCACTTTTGTTTGTGTCTGTGAAACACCCTCTGGTCTGCCATTTTGCATTTTGATAGAGACGTGGAAGCGTGTGACTTTGGTCTTGACTCCGCTGTCCATGCGGCAGTGACTAGGGTGGGGCAGCCGGGTCACCTGGCGATGGTGCGTCCCTGCCGGAAGGGGCCGGTGGCTTCGTGGCTCCAGCCGGTTGCTGCCTCGCAGGCCTGTGACCCAGAGCGGCCAGATCTTGCGTTTTCTTCCACACAAGCCTGCTGCCTTGATTTCTGTGTGAAATTTCCTGGTTTGTGAATTGGGCAACACGTTCTAAGTGAGAAACAAACAAACGACAAAATAGCCGCTGGGCCAAACCATGGCCCCCTAAGTAAAACGTGTGCCGGCCAGATGCGGCTTGTAGGCTGTGAGCTGGCGACCTCTGCCTCAAGGCTTTGGTTTATTTCTTTGAGCTCTGGACTCAAAGCGACGAGGACTTGAATGCTTTGGGAATTGGTGGCAAGAGAGCTGGTGCTCCGTCAGGAGTGCCCAGGGTTCCGGCCTTGCCTCTGCCTTGGTTTTCTTTGGGCCTTAGGGTAAGTGATTTCTCTGGGCCTCTGTTTTCTAATCTGTAAAGTGGATCCATTTTAACAGCTCATCTCCTTTGTTCCCCACCCCTCCCAGTCTCCACGGCCCGGTTAGTTATCGGTGTCGCAAGGACGCAGCTCCGGATAAATTTAAAATTTATGTTGTCTGGTCCCTTGTCATCTTCGAGTGTCAGTAACCGAAACCCTCTGCGAACCCCAGTTGGCATTTGTTAGATGCCGTTCGCTGCTAACCCCACCAGGCCAGGGGGATGCAATTTGAAATGTTTCATTTTATTCCAGCATTTGGCGTGGAAAATGTTTGCGTTTGGGGTCCTGCTCTTTCTTTTTGTGACTACGCCACATGCTGGGTTTTCTCTTTGAATTTAGGCATAAATGAAATCTCAGAAGATGTTTACACGGCTGTGGAGCACAGCGATTCGGAAGATTCAGAGAAGTCCGATAGTAGTGATAGTGAGTATATCAGTGATGATGAACAGAAGTCCAAGAATGAGCCAGAGGACGCAGAAGACAAAGAGGGTAGTCGGGTGGACAAAGAGCCATCGGCTGTCAAAAAAAAACCCAAACTGGCAAACCCAGTGGAGACTAAGGAGGAGCTGAAAAGCACATCACCGGCCAGCGAGAAAGCAGATCCCGGCTCGGTCAAGGAAAAGGCAAGCCCCCAGCCTGAGAAGGACTTCTCCGAAAAAGCAAAAGCCTCCCCTCACCCTGCAAAGGATAAACTGAAGGGGAAAGATGAGACGGATTCCCCAACAGTACATTTGGGCCTGGACTCCGATTCAGAAAGTGAACTTGTCATAGATTTAGGAGAAGACCATACTGGGCGGGAGGGTCGAAAAAATAAGAAGGAACCCAAAGAAACATCTCCCAAGCAGGATGGTAAGTGAACCCCCACCAGTTTCGGTTTCTTGATTTGGCTTAGAGTACCCCCTTGTGTTGGTATTCCAGAAGTTACGTGGCTCTCCGACATCACAGAGGGGGGCACCAGAGCAGACCTTTCATTGGCTCGAGGTCACCTAGCTAAGTCACTAATCAGGTCCAGGACTGACTCCAGGCCTGCCCGCCTCTCGCCCAATGTGGTTGATTTTGAGCTCAGAAAAATAAAAAACGGTAGGTGTTTCTAGCAGTCGGGTCATTGTTTGCCCAAGCTCCACTTTCCCAATATGCTCACTTGTTTCCCTAAAATGTTTGTCAACATTTAGATATATGACAAGGTTGGAATGGTTAGAAGTGTTTTTCATTTTTTTGTTAAAAAATTTTTTTAATGTTTATTTTTGAGAGACAGAGAGAGAGAGAGGGAGAGAGAGAGAGCATGAGTTGGGGAGGGGCAGAGAGAGACACACACACACAGAGTCCGAAACAGGCTCCAGAGTCTGAGCTGTCAGCACAGAGCCTGACGCAGGGCTGGAACTCATGAACCGTGAGATCATGACCTGAGCCAAAGTATGACCAGCTGAGCCACCCAGGCGCCCCTGTTAGAAGTGTTTAATTCAGAGATCTTGATGAGTTCAGCTCCTGTTCTTCCCTTCACGCTGCCCAGGTGCCTCATGGTGCATTTTCTTACTGGAATCTGAGACCATTTGGGGAGATGGTACCTGAATACCGAGTGCTTCTTGGGGCCCTAGACAGGGAGAGGGCACTGGATGGTGGGCACCTGAATTGGGGTGCCACCATATATGTGTTTATCCGACCTGAGTCCAGGGTCTTTGAGCCCTGGCATTGTTGGCATCTTGTGCCGTGTAATTCTTTGTGCCGTGTGTTGGAGAATGTTTGGCAGCCTCCCGGGCCTCTGCCCGCTGGATGCCAAGAGCCTCTGCCTACTGGTGGCAGTCAAAGATGTCTTGATATTGCCATTTGCCCCCTGGGCGGCACAAATCTCTGGCTGAGAACCATCACCTGATCTCAGGGGTGCTCCCCATTGCCGCTGTCACGGACCGAACCCGCAGTGGCCACCCTCCCCTGGTGCAGCCCAGGCATGTTGACAAGCCCTCCGGGAAGAGTGTGTGAATGATGTGAAGGGTGTCCTTCCCGTGGACAAGGCAGTTAGCGTGTTTTTTTTAGCTGGTTTGGCAAGTGGGTGTAAGGGGATTCCAACGTGCCCAAGAAAGGGAGAGAAGAATTAATTTAGGGCCCAGGAGAAACATTGCCTATGGACACACCGGAAATCGTAGCCATAAAACCTTCTGGACTTTGTGAGCGCCTGAAGGGCTAGTCAGGTTTAATTTCTGACCTGGGCCAACTTTTGACAGGAGCTAACTTCCCAACCAAACTCTTGAGTCAGAGGTGATTCTACACCCCCTGAGCATTTCGGAGGCTGGCTGCATAAACCGTGTCTGAATGGTGCGGTGGAGGGAGAAAGAGAAGTGATTGAAAGGGGCAGGGAGGCTAGAACAGCACACCGTCCTGAGTCCCCGTGGATTTGGGGGTGGCCTCCAAAAAATCCGACTTTGTTGTGGATTGGGGTTTGAGGCAGATGTGGCAGAAAACAGTAGGAGAGTAGCATCTTTTCCATATTCGATGTGGTTTGGGGGGAATATTTGGGTACAAAGATGGCAGTGCTCCTATGAGTGATAGGTATACTGCTCCTTATTGTCCGGAACCTGTCTTTTGATTGATTGGTTTTATGCCTCTTCCTCTTCCAGAAAGGATCTGTAACAGATTGACAAGAATATTTAACCATGAAACAAAACGAAGATACAGAAGTCTGTAAAAGAGGAAGGTAGAATAGTAAGAGGTCCGGGAAGGTTTATGCACATAACTATGTACTGTTTCGGCCTTCAGTGTTAGCAAAGTTGAGCTTTCATTTTGGCTGTGAGCTTCCTAGCAGTCAAAGCAAAAAGGGAAATACAGCCCCATAAAAGATCTCATATTCCCCGCCCCCCCCCCCCCCCAAAAAAAAAACAAACGTCCCAGTCGATTAAGCGAAATACAGCTGTTCTTGCACTGATGTCTGAGGGAAATACCTTCAAGAGGCCCCAAGTATACAGTGGTTGTAATTAAGCTGAAGATGATTCCGAAACTTAATTTAGTTCGTGCAGAAACTTAATTCAATTCGTGCATTATCCTGGGGGTTGGGACAAAGACCTACCAGTCTTTTTTTTTAAATTTTTTTTTTAAATGTTTTATTTTATTTTTGAGACAGAGACAGAGACAGAGCATGAGCAGGGGAGGGGCAGAGAGGGAGGGAGACACAGAATCCGAAGCAGGCTCCGGGCTCCGAGCTGCCAGCCCAGAGCCCGACGCGGGTCTCGAACTCACGGACTGTGAGATCATGACCTCAGCCGAAGTCGGACGCTCAACCGACTGAGCCACCCAGGTGCCCCAAGACCTACCAGTCTTAAAATCTAGAGCCCCTCGATAGTAGTTTGGGTCTTGAAGGATCGAGTTTGTACCAGACTCTGCAGTGGAGCGTGCTTTCAACGGTGTGTTTAGCCGAAGGGTATTTTGGAGTGAGCCGTGGTGACCTCCAGCTCCCCTCCAGCTGGGAATGAAGCTCACGTATAGAATCTGGATACGTAGCTAGCAAAACAGCTTTGTGGCTGGTGATGTCAGAATAGAGGCAAAGAGAGAGCTTACTTCGAGACCTTGCTGTGAACATCAGTAATTTCCATTCTTCTCTTTAAAAGCCTGCCTTTTAGGGACTAGACAGCGACCAAAGTCTAGAAGAAGTAGTTTAATAAGTAGGGACAGCTTCTGGAGTATTGGCCCGTAAGAGACTCACCCTTTTTTGGGCTACAGGTCATTTGATTATACGCTTCAAATTTCTAGGACAAATGGAATTTCTTATGGCCTTCCCCGCCCCAAACCATTAGAATCTGTTAGGAATCAAAATAGTTGAGTGTCTGAGTGCTTCGAGCCCAGCATCTTTTCAGATTGCACACTCCAGTGTTTCATTTGGAACAGAGGGGCCGCCAAGCCACCTGTGAGGCCAGCTGTTTGCTTCTGAAAAGTGGTACAAAGAAAAGGACCTTTTTGTGGTTGCCCTGTGTCTGAGGAAAGGGGGACGAGGCTAGCTTGTCAACAATAACGGTATTGCTTTTCTGGTCACCCGGAAGCAAAGGGAGGCATGTGGGTGAGAAACCCCGCCAGGGTACTGCCCCGGTGCAGGGCTCATAGAGAAACTGGGTTCAAAGCCACCTCTCCGCCTGGAGAGTGCAGGGACTGTGTCCATTATCTGGCACATCATGTCATCCCAGGGAAGGGTCATCCCAGAGCTCCCCCTCTGGCTTTTCCTGTGAACTTGCCTGTGAACTTGGCTAGGCTCTCCTCTCCCTCCGGAGGAGCAGGAGGACGGAGGGCCAGCCAGACGTGATGACCCCCACTTCCAGGTCAGGAAAGTCAGCTTGGTTTTTTTTGTTTGTTTGTTTTGTTTTGTTTTTTCTCTCCCTCTCCTTTAGGAGATGGACTTCCTAAAACCCAGTGTACTGAAAAGCCTCCCTAGAACAGTCAAGGTCATGTCTTTCCCAGGTTCTAGAAATCTAAAAAGACAGACATGTTCCTGAAGAGGCGTTCATGTCGAGGCACATTGTCTAAGATCGGGGTGCTGACTTATTGCCTGTGTTCTGTGTGTGATCCCCAGGCATCCTCTCGGGGGGGCAAACCCACCCCACTGGTGGCTGGCGTCTCTGCAGTGACAACCCTTTTACAAATGAGCACCACGTGGCCCCCCCTTCTACGCTGCTCAGTGCTTCCGGCTCTAACCTGCCTTCCTGCCACTCCTCACTGCCTGCCCTCACTGACCCAAGTGCTGCCTGTTCCCAAACACGCCTTGGCTGATGCTGTCACCTTCCCAGTTCTCACTTCCGCCTGTTGGACATCCTACCCCTCCCTGCAGGCCTCCCCTCCTCCACCCCCACCCTAAGACTCCACGAAGCAGCTTTTTCCAAACTTCTCATTCACATTCATTGTTTTGGCCCTTCCCAAGTCCTGCTTGTATATAATCATTGACTTTATATTTTTATTTAAAGCCACTTACTCTGAATACAAAAATGAAACTCATTTTAGATGTAGATTTGACCAGCACACACGTAAGGCATATACTCACCCTGACAAGCACTGAGCACTGTGTACAATTATTGAATCGCTATATTGTACACCTGCAGCCAACCTAACGCTGTATGTTACCTGTACTGGCATCACAATTACAAAAACAAAACAAAACAAAACACTTAGTAAAACAACAGCAACAACAAAGAAGGCAAGTCTCCTAACTTCACGATAAATACCATTGTGTTGGGAAGGTTCTCGCTTCGGGTTGGAATTACCTTTAGTGTTAGGTGTCGAGGCCATTAGCAGCTTACTGGGACTTAGTCCTGGAGGGAGTCGGAGGTTAAGGGATACTTTTCTTTCTGGGTGACTTCGTGTTGTTCGGTGCTTTGACCTACGGGAAGCCATCTGATCCTTTGGGGTGCATGCTTTAGAGGTTCCCTAGCCAAAGGGATTCTCCTCATCTCCAGATTGACTTTGGTTGGTTCTCTCACAAAGTGCTTACCCAGTTCTGTCTGTAAAACGAGCCTCGTGCGGTGATTCCGCTCATCCACGTGTCGTTGGGCAACTTGAGGGCAGGAGCTGTGTCTCGTTCCCATTTCCCCCAGAGGCCCAGATGAGAGTCTCAGAGGTGGGCATGTGCCCCCGAGAAGGGGCTGACCCTCTGAGACAGAGGTGCAGAAGTGGCCTAAGTGGGTACGGTGAGATGGGCGCCTCCATCGGCGTGTCCCCGCCACACCGAATTTGTCGGGCATTCCTGGCTGGCCTTGGTTTGTCTTACCCAGAGCCTGCTGGCCTAGAGACCCTGCACATGAACCTGAGTCCAATCCACCGTTCTTTTGTTTGTGTGTTGTTTGTTTTTTCACGCATCGGCTTTAGTCGTAGGTAAAGCTCCACCATCCACTACGGCGGGCGGCCAGTCCCCACCCGAAACTCCGCTCCTCACCCGCTCCTCCTCCCAAACTCCCACGGCTGGTGTCACGGCCACCACCAGCACCACGTCCACCGTCACGGCCCCGGCCGCCGCCGCCACGGGAAGCCCGGTGAAAAAGCAGAGGCCGCTTTTACCGAAGGAGACTGCCCCGGCCGTGCAGCGGGTCGTGTGGAACTCGTCAAGTAAGTTTCAAACGTCTTCCCAAAAGTGGCACATGCAGAAGATACAGCGCCAACAGGACAGCCAACAGGAGAGCCAGCAGCAGCCACAGTGCTCCCAGGGGACGAGATATCAGACCAGACAGGCTGTGAAAGGTACCACGCGCGCCCCCTTCTGTTCTCGTGGTGCCCGCTCCCTGTTCGCCACATCGACAGGAGAGAGAGAATGGTTTTGTTTTTTCCGTTCCTTTTTGTTTCCCGGCCGTTGCATCTTGAGGGCCTCACGCGCTCCATTTGGCATCATTTTTAAAAATTGTCTCGCAGCTCGTTTTTTTCACTCCTGTTTATTTATTTTTCGTTTCTGGACAATATGTGCGTATAGGCTTCTTAGAAAAGGGTAAAATACTTACCCCCAAATCTGTTGTCTTGATTGAACTTCCATTTCATCCTCCACCCTTTCTCAGCGGCCACTGTTCACTGTAAAACCCTTTTTTATGCATGTATGCATATATATTTACATATATATGAATCTTCATAAAAAATAGGACTTTTTTTTTCTTTTTTTTAAAACATAAAAATGGTACCATACTTGCTTCCCCCCCTTTTTTTTTCTTTTTCTTTTTCTTTTTTTTTTTAACCCATCAGCATGTTTTGGAGGTTCATCCGTGTTAGTGCACAGAGCTCTTCATTATTCTTTTGGACTGCTGCATAGTATTCCACAGTTGATGTAAATCAAGTATTCCCCTATGGATGGGCATTTAGATTGCTCCCAGTTTTTTTTCTGTTGTGAGCAGTGCTGCAATGAATATCTTTGCGTAAGTTTTCTCGTGCACATCCGTCAGCCTCTTGGCGTTACCTTGGGAAGAGTGCTTTCAGTGTGAGACACTGGTAGCAGAGAACTAGGGATTAGCCCCGTGGAGAAGAGCCGGCATCAGTCAAGAAGCAGTTGCCGAAGTTGGGTAATCAAAGCCGCCCGACACCCCCACCCCCCGCCGCCTCGGCCAAGCCATGCAGGAGGCTCCATCTGGTGCCGTGCAGAGGAGTACCAGGTTGCCTCGTTTTTTGAGCACTGATGCAGATCATGTTTCCTAGGGAAGCCTGCATCTAGATCCTTGGAGATTGGGGTCTTTGGTTGAAACCCTCACGTACTGAGCGCAGCCTAGCGAGTAGAGCTGTACTGTAAAGAGTAGCAGCAGGATGTGGGTTGAAAGGTGGCCAGGTCTTGAAGAGCCCCAAAGAATCCCTTCGAAGACGGGGCGGGGAGGGGTGGTTGGAGGTAAGAGTAACAGATTGGACAGGTCCAGTGTTAATGCAGCTAGATTGCTCTTGCTGTTTATTTTTTATTTTATTTTTTTAACATTTATTCATTTTTGAGAGAGAGCGCAAGAGAGCCCAAGTGGGGGAGGGGCAGAGAGCGAGGGAGACAGAATCCGAAGCAGGCTCCCGGCTCCCGGCTCCCGGCTGTCAGCACAGAGCCCGACGCGGGGCTCGAACCCATGAACTGCGAGATCGTGATCTGAGCCGAAGTTGGACGCTTGACCAGTTGAGCCACCCAGGCGCCTCTGTTCCTGCTATTTTAAATTTTTTTTTTTTTCAACGTTTATTTATTTTGGGGACAGAGAGAGACAGAGCATGAATGGGGGAGGGGCAGAGAGAGAGGGAGACACAGAATCGGAAACAGGCTCCAGGCTCCGAGCCATCAGCCCAGAGCCCGACGCGGGGCTCGAACTCACGGACCGCGAGATCGTGACCTGGCTGAAGTCGGACGCTTAACCGACTGCGCCACCCAGGCGCCCCTGCTCCTGCTATTTTAAAGGGCTAGTGGGGCAGAACTAAATCTAGGATATTCGAGGTCGGGATGACTAGTTCCTGTGTTTTCTGTCTTCGCACCCCGTCAGCATTATGAGCTTCCCCAGGGGAATTTAGGTGCTGTAGTTGAGAGGCCCATTGATGGTATGGTTCTCAATTTCCAGATTGTCTTGTGTCAAAGGTGACAAAGCTGGATACTAGTTAAAGTGGTAAGGATGGGTTTTAATCAGTATGTACTATTACGATAGGGAGAAAAAGTCCAGCCTAAACTGAAGTCAACCCTACTTTGTACAGAGGTGATGAGGCATTTGAAAGGGAGAATGGACGGGGGTAGGGAAGGGGCCGAGTGGGGACCTCCAATAGAGTCAGGGAAGTGAAATTTTACAAAAAATGGGAAATGGGGCTTGGTCCGTGTGAAGCCCACGTGGGGTTGCTAACTGCTGCTTCTCAAAGTTAGGCTCCTACCCTCCCTGGGAGATGGGCCACAGGGGGTTTGCTGTAACAAACAGTAAATTTATATGGCAGCCTTGAACTTTCTCAGGCAGGCACTTTAATGGGGTCTGGGGTCATCCTAGGGATGCGGCCTTGAGCTGTTAGAAAAGTTATTTGTGTTTGCCTGAGGCTTGGTCCCAGAAATGGCTTAGAGGATCCTAGTTAGAGTCTGGTCAAAGGGAGGGTGTTTGTCATTTGAAAGTAGAAAAGCTCAAAGGGCACACATTGGGGACTTCACTCCCTCTGTGCAGCTTCGTGCTGGGTCGGGCCCTTCCCGTGGCGGTGGGGTGACCAGGACCCTTTCCTTTCCTAGCTGTGCAGCAGAAGGAGATCACACAGAGCCCATCCACCTCCACCATCACCCTGGTGACCAGCACCCAGTCGTCGCCTCTGGTCACCAGCTCGGGGGTCACGAGCACCCTCGCGTCCTCAGTCAGCGCAGACCTGCCCATCGCCACTGCCTCCGCTGATGTTGCTGCGGACATTGCCAAGTACACTAGCAAAGTGAGTGCCCATGGCACCTGGGGGATTGGGGGGGGGGCGTGTCAGAGGACCAGCTTCCAGATGGGAGCCTGGAGAGTCATGACCTTGCAGGCTTTACAGGGTGTTTTGGAGGGAAGACCCTGTTTGAAGTGAAGATCTCCAAGCCCAGATTCTTCCACTTGGCTCTAAAGTTGGACCTAAGCAGAGAAATCTAGAATGGGCTGCATCTTGTTCTGAGGGCTTAGATTCTAAAGTTAGTACAGAGCAGGAAAATGACACAGCGGCAGAATCACCCTGCGGAGCTCACGCCACTCGTGACGACAGTTTCCTTAAGCGCTGGGACAGGTTACTGTTCCGTCAGTTGATAACAGACCAAGGAGTTGGTTTATGATTCAAAAGCCATGTGGAATGAAGTGACACGAGTCTTAGGCAGGAGGTTTGTAAGGTATAATACCCACACCAGGTTGGACTAGGGAGGGGTGGATTCCCTCCCGACTCACCCGCCCCCTGAGTTCACTGCTGGGTGTTCGCTCAGCGCAGACTCTTCCTCTTCATTTGCCAGGTGCTTCTTTGCTCGTTGAATTCAGGCAAATACAACCAGGAGCTGTTCTCAAGGTCACATGAGGTTGCTCTGGAGTGACACGCGGGTCCATAGCCACAGACCGCTCGATAGCGGAATAACCACGAGGCCAGGATTTTGTATGTTTTGCTTACCTCCAGGGCCTAGAACGGTGCCTGGCTCACAGTAGGTGTTCCTGCAGGGTTGTTAAATGAATGCATGCTGGTGCCTAACTTCTCTGTGTTGGGCTTATTACCGTGAAGGGCTATTAATAGTAGTTACTGAGGAATAATCTAGGCAGAGTGTTTAGTATGTCACTAAGTAGGCAGTAATAATAATTTACTCTTCACTAAGGAGTAAGTGATTAGTTAGTTACTAATGAGTACACTATTCAGGTTTATAGAGAGCATGGGTGACCATTACTGAGGATCGCTGTTTCTAGAATTCTTGAAGTGCCATGATAAAGACTTGCTTTATTATATTGTGTTAAAGGTGGACTCTCCTTTAGTTCTGGATGACCAGTGACATTTATAATTTTATACCAGTGTGTTTTTGTTGGTCATTTTCTTCCTATTCCTTCCATTGAGATGTGTCCGGTATCCTTATACAACAAATGAGCACAAAACATAGCAACTTAAACCAGTTCCCGTTTCTCCTCACAGTTTCTGGGGTCAGGAGTCTGGGCAGGGCTCAACTAGGTCCTCTGCTATAGGGCCCCTGGCAGGTTCCTCTCAAGGTGTTTGCTAGGGTTGAGGTTTCATCCGAAGGCTCGACCAGGGAAGGATCCATTTCCAAGTTGACTTAGGTGGTTGTGAGCAGGATTTACTTCCTCAACGGCCGTCGGGCTGAGGGTGTCAGGTCCAGGCTGGCTCTTGGCCAGAGGCCGTCGTCAGTTCGTGCCACGTGGGCCTTCATACTTGGCAGTTTGCTTCCTCAAAGCCAGTGATAGAGAAAACCTGTTAGCAGGATGGAAGTCAGTCTTCTGTAACCTGATCTCAGAAGTGACAGCCTGTTACCTTTGTCATATTGCATTGGTTAGAAGGTCACTAGGCCAGCTCACACTGGAAGGGAGGGGGTTACACAGGGTCACAAACGCCAGAGCACCTGGGGTCATTGAGAGCCATCTGTCTTTCACACTAGGTAAGATGGTCCAAGTACTAGGTAGTGTTTGCATGGTGTTGCTCTGGCTCGAAACCTGCTGTAAGTGTTATGCTTATATGTTATTTACTTAGCTTTCGTAATAAATAGATGAGGTAGATACTGGTATCATCCTTGTTTTATAGATGAGAAAACTGAGGCTCAGTGGGGTTACACAGTCTGAATGGTTGAGCTGGGATTTGAATAGTAGCAGCCAGGATCTTAAAGAGTGGCTTTGAGCCAGTTTGTGAATACCTGTGAAGCCTACTGACCACAGATGTCCAGTGTCCATGAACTGATTGTTCTTGCACGTGCCTTTTTCAACAACCCTGTCTGACCCTACCCCCAACCCCCCTGTCTACGGAGAGAATCAGTACCAGTCTTGGGGATAACTTTGTCTCTTATGTAGATTTTTTTTTTTTTTAAACATTTTTTTATTTTTGAGTCAGAGAGACAGAGCATGAACGGGGGAGGGTCAGAGAGAGAGGGAGACACAGAATCAGAAGCAGGCTCCAGGCTCTGAGCTGTCAGCACAGAGCCCGACACGGAGCTTGAACCCATGAACCGTGAGATCATGACCTGAGCCGAAGTCGGACGCTTAACCGACCGAACCACCCAGGCGCCCCAACTTTGGCTCTAATTTAGTATGTTTGTCCTCCTTTTGAATTAAATGCATGAATTGTTATAGAGTCCCTGAGTGTCAGAAGAGGAAGGATTCAAGGGGCGATGATCTGTTGCCATTCTGAAGATTTTAGTCTTCCCTGTCCACCTACTGGTAGATACTGATTTAATGTTTTTATTTAAATTTAATATAGTTTTCTTTAAATTGACCGAAAGAGTGAAACTAAAATTGGGTCTACCATTCTCAGATAACCATTCCCTGTCAAGGCTTGAAGCCTAAGTTTGTTTTCCTTTGGTTAAAAGGAGAGATTGTCACCAAAGTGTTTGGTGCATAGTGGCACCATACTGAGACTTTGTTCCTCATGTGGTATGCAGGTTTACGGAGGAATGGAAAAGGAGTGATCTTTTTCATTCCTGATTTCAGAAGGCGTCTGGCGTGCCTAAATGGTCTCTTGTTCTGCTAAGTTTAGCCTTACCAGCACCTTCCATTGACTGGGTCCAACTTGCCTAATTGAGAGATGAGGAAACTGAGGCCTGCTGAGTGGACCTGGCGAGTGGTTTGCACTGAGCTGGTTTTCTGAGCTCCTGCAGCTGTCTCTATTTCTTGGGCTTCCCCTTTGCTCTTACCACAAAATTGAGGAATGAACTTCGTGGTAGACATTTTCTTCGCAGATAAGAAAATGAGCACGGTGACATATTTTTGGAGCTGATGAACTTTCCTGCCTCCGAGGTGACCCAGAGTTGAACACCCAGATCTGTGTGTGTTGGCAGAAGGATGCTCTTTTATTAATGCTGAGCCCTTTGCTATATTTGGAAGAAAGAGTGAAAATCCGTCCACAGATCCATGATTTCTTTAAAATGGAATGTAACCATTGCATTAGGAATGTATTGAATTTCATCCACTTTCTAAAGTTTTCTTGTAAAGCAATTTAGCCTTAATATTTTAAATTGACATGGTTGGTGCAGCGGGGCGGGGAGGCCCATACAGGACGACTGGGGAGCGCGAAGTGTTTTTCCTGGCCGTGTCCATGTGTGGCCCCCAAAACAAGTGAGGAGTAGAAATCCCAACGGTGACTATATTCGTTTTCCTCCCATTTTGGGGTGAATTGGGGGTTATTATTTTAGAGTTTGGCACTTTATTAATTACAGCACATGTGGATTTTTTTTTTCCCCTGTAAAAATAAGAGGAACAGGTATTTCTTTCTGAATACCTGCCCTGTGGCAGATACTGAACCATTGTCTCCACATGGGTTTTTCACCTAATCTTTGTGCACACCCTACACGGGCCCACTGTCCTTACCCTTGTTTTCTACATGGGGGAACCGAGGCTCAGAGAGTGGGTGGTGGTGGGAAGAGATCTCGGGCATCAGATACGAGGGTGGTTTTTGTCATGCCTTCTTGTTGGATTGGAGCAAATTGCAAAACACAGTGGAGACTTTGCTGCAGCCAGGCCAGGCCCCGAGGCCTGTTTTGGTCTCCTGTCCTCTCCTCTTTGTCCTGTGACCGCTGGAGGGGCGGGGAATCAGCCAGCAAGTGATAGGCAGGAGAAAAATCATCCTGCAGACACATTCAGTCAGCAGGGAACTAGGTGCCTGCCACGTGGACCTGAGCTGGTGTCACAAACTCGCTGATGCCTTCAGGGCTCAGAGAGTTAAAGAAAAGGAAGATGGCACACTGGACAGGCAATGGGAGGGAGCCCTGACCAAAGTCCTTCAAATACCGAACCAGCTATCGCCACACAGTGGGGTGGATTAATTCGTCCATAAAAACGAAGGACTGATCCAGTCTGTGACCCAGACAGATCTCGAAACCTCTGCACTAAGTGGAAGAAGGCGGTCACCAAAGACCATGTGTTGTGTGACTCCACAGATAGAAAATATCTAGATGAAGCACATCCATCCGTGTAGAAAGCAGATCAGTGGTTGTCAGGGGGTGGGGGGCGATGGGGACCTTTGGGGGGTGAAAGCTAAGGGGTATCCAAGTTCTTTTTGGGGTAATGGACTGTGGGGATGGATGTACAACTGTGAATCTATTAAAGGCCATGGATTTGTGCACTGTAAATGGGTCCATTGGTAGATGAATGAGATCTCAATAAGACTTTTTTTTTTTTTTTTAAAGGGGAAGGAATTTAGAAACAACAGTCATAAAAGGAAACAATTCCTCCCTTGAACCCATCGTGCTGGCCAAAGCAAACAGGCCTGGGGCCCAAATTCAGCCTCTCCAGATTAGCCTGTGGGCTACAGAAACTAGCTTTGGATTATACCTGAGTTTCTCCACCTTGGCACCAGTGACATTTTGGGTTGGATAATTCTTTGTTGTGGGGGCTGTTCTGTCTATATAGCGTATGTAGCTCATCCTTGGCCTGCACCCACCAGATGCCAATAGTCTGCTTCCCCCACCCCCCACCCCCCCCCGCCATCAGTCATGACAACCACAAGTGCCAAATGTCCTGTGAGGGACAGAATTGCCCCCGTTGAGAACAACTGCTTTGTATTGGGTAGGTTTTAGATGTATTTCATCTAGAAAAGCCTCAGGGAAGTGATCACCTGAATTGTTTCTGTTTTTATCTTTCAGATGATGGATGCAATCAAAGGAACGATGACAGAAATCTACAACGATCTTTCTAAAAACACTACTGGGAGCACAATAGCCGAGGTCAGAGATGACACATTCCTTATTTGCTAAGAATGTTATAAGGGCTGCTGTAAAATGGTGCCAGGAAGCAGCTTCTCTGGAAGTCCCTCCAGGGCGCTCTGCTGATTGTGTTTGTTGGGAAGGGCGTGTCTTTACTTAGTCACAAGGCTGGCTCTGTGGTGAGGATACACACAGCTTTGTGTGATCGGTTCACTTCTAGTCAAACGGCCAGTACTGGAGCCTGAGTTAACCCCCTAGTGAAACCTGAGATTAATCAGTTCCTTTGGCCCCCATGTATAATTGTCTCCTGGCTCTCTTAAGTTTGGACATTTTTATCCAAGGGATCCTTGTTGTCTTAGGATTTGCATACTGAAAGCCTCCACAATTGTGTGGTTGCCTAGGGAATAAAGCGGTTAAAACGTGAAAATGTCCACTTAGGAAGTGACCATTTGTGAAAATAGATCTCTTTGAACTGACTTCTTAGGCTAGGCTAATTCATCGTAAGCCAGGTGTGGAAGGGTCACCAGGTGAAATGACAAGTGAAGGAACTTCTTGAGGTCATCGTAAGTGATGTTGGAGACAGGGAAATTCCATGCAAGCCACTGACCTGTGAGGGCCAGCACTCAGGAGAAGAGAAAATCTCCCCCAGGAAGGTGTCCTAACAGGCTTTCGGCAGAGAACAATGTGCATATAAAGCTTTGAGAGCGGTCCGGAAGGAAATCAGTGAGTTCCCGGGATATTTTGCTCATGTGACCATCTCTATGATGAGACCAAGGATTGGTATGTATGTGGTTGAAAACACAGATCCCGGGGCGCCTGGGTGGCGCAGTCGGTTAAGCGTCCGACTTTAGCCAGGTCACGATCTCGCGGTCCGTGAGTTCGAGCCCCGCGTCGGGCTCTGGGCTGATGGCTCAGAGCCTGGAGCCTGTTTCCGATTCTGTGTCTCCCCCTCTCTCTGCCCCTCGCCCGTTCATACTCTGTCTCTCTCTGTCCCAAAAATAAATAAACGTTGAAAAAAAAACATTTAAAAAAAAATAAAAAAAAAAAGAAAACACAGATCCGTAACGTCTCACTTGAAACCTTGGGGTCCAGATGTGTGCCAGAATTTTTCAGAATTTGAAAAGGTAATATGCAGCTACCCGCCCCAAACAGTACAACATTTTGGCTGTGAAATACGCTTGTTCACACAAATTAGGGTTTCTCCACCTCGGCACTTCTGACATTTGTGCCAGATGATTCTCTGTTATGGGGGCTGTCTTGTCCATCGTAGGGTGCTTGGCAGGTCCCTGGCTTCTACCCTATTGGCAGTAGCACCCCTCTATTGTGACAGCCTCAGAAGTCTGCAGGTCTTGCAGTGTCGTGGAGGGAGCGGGGAGGACAAAATCACCGTGGTGGAGAGCCACTGTGGTTATCAAACACTGTTTGATAAATAGGGCCCATGTTCAGGCGGGGTTTATTTTTCCCCTCCAAATGAATTTAACTCCTCCCTCCAAAATTACCCTTTGGTTTCCAGAGGTGTTAGGCTTTGGAGTTTCAGGTGAATAACTATAGATTCCAACTAAAATGTTAGGTAAGACGGGCACCTGGGTGGCTCGGTTGCTTAAGCGTCCGACTTCGGCCCAGGTGAAGATCTCGCGGTTCGTGTGTTCGAGCCCTGCGTCGGGCTCTGTGCTGACAGCTCAGAGCCTGGAGCCTGTTTCAGATTCTGTGTCTCCCTCTCTCTCTGTCCCTCCCCTGTTCATGCTCTGTCTCTGTCTCAAAAATAAATAAACGTTTAAAAAAAAAAAAAATGTTAGGTAAGAGATCAAACACAGCTAACATTATTTGCTTTAGTTTCACTTTTTTAAGACCAAATTTCTTTTTTTTTTCTAATTTTATTTTTTATTTTTTAAAATTTACATCCAGATTAGTTAGCACATAGTGCAACAATGATTTCAGGAGTAGATTCCTTAGTGCCCCTGACCCATTCAGCCCATCCCCCCTCCCACAACCCCTCCCGTAATCCTCAGTTTGTTCTCCATATTTATGAGTCTCTTCTGTTTTGTCCCCCGCCCTGTTTTTATATTATTTTTGTTTCCCTTCCCTTACGCTCATCTGTTTTGTCTCTTAAAGTCCTCATATGAGTGAAGTCATATGATACTTGCCTCTCTCTTACTAATTTCGCTTAGCATAATACCCTCCAGTTCTATCTGCGTAGTTGCAAATGGCAAGATTTCATTCTTTTTGGTTGCTGAGTAATACTCCATTGTGTGTGTGTGTGTGTGTGTGTGTGTGTGTGTGTGTGTGTGTGTGTATACACCGTGTCTTCTTTATCCATTAATCCATGGGTGGACTTTTGGGCGCTTTCCATACTTTGGCTATTGTTGATAGTGCTGCTATAAACATGGGGGTGCATGTGTCCCTTCAAAACAGCACACCTTATCCCTTGGATAAATGCCTAGTAGTGCAATTGCTGGGTCGTAGGGTAGTTCTATTTTTAGTTTTTTCTAAAAATTTTTTTTTTTAACATTTATTTATTTTTGAGACAGAGAGAGACAGAGCATGAACGGGGGGAGGGGCAGAGAGAGGGGGAGACACAGAATCGGAAGCAGGCTCCAGGCTCTGAGCCATCAGCCCAGAGCCCGACGCGGGGCTCGAACCCACGGACCGCTAGATCGTGACCTGAGCTGAAGTCAGACGTTTAACCGACTGAGCCACCCAGGCGCCCCTCTATTTTTAGTTTTTTGAGGAACCTCCATACTGTTTTCCAGAGTCGCTGCACCAGCTTGCATTCCCAAGGACCAAAGTTCTAATCAAGCCTTTCATTTATTTGTTATTATTATTTTTTTTATTTATTATGAAAATCTGTTCCTTGTTTTTACTTTATTCATTCATTCATTTTTAAAGTAAACTCTGTGCTCAACATGGGACTTGAACTTAACAACCCAAGATCAAAAGTTGGATGCTCTAGCAACTAAGCCAGCCAGGCACCCTCCTCCCGCCTTGTTTTTACTTTAAGTGGCTTTTTCTGGAGCCGGGATTTCTTGGAAAAGACAGACAACTTCTATAGTTGACTCTTAAAAAGCGGGTTTGAACTGTGCTTGTCCATTTTATATGGAGTTTTTATATAGTATAATACTGTAAAATGCATTTTCTCTACCTTGTGATTTTCTTAACGTTTTCTTTTCTCGAACTTACCTAATCGTAAGAATACATTGTCTAATACACACATCTGTGTTCAGCTGTTAATGTTTTTGGGGAAGGCTTCCTGGTCAACAGTGGGCTGTTAAGTTTTTGGAGAGTCCAAGGTTACATGTAGATTTTTTGACGGCATGGCCTGTGGGTGCCCCGGTTCCCACTCCCACGTTGTTCAAGGGTCAGCTGCATTTCGTTTTCGGAAGCAGAGTTCCTTTTGAATTTGGGATAACCCACTGGTGCCCACCTCTCTGGACTGCAGCGTCCAGCTGCTTACGCCTCACTTGACCGCGTGGCGTTGACTCTTCCAGCTGGTGAGCCCTGTCGGTGAACGCCATCCAGACCCGCCTTCTAAGAGTCTTACTCTCCCTCATTCCAGATTCGCAGGCTGAGGATCGAGATCGAGAAGCTGCAGTGGCTGCACCAACAGGAGCTCTCGGAAATGAAGCACAACTTGGGTAAGTCCTGGTGAACTGGCCTGCGCCGAGGGCGCTTTTGGGTGTGAACTTCTCCGCAGCTCTGGAGGCAGGTGCCTGCGTGAATGGAGTCAAAAGTAGGCTTGGGGATGTGATGTCCCGCTGCTGGGGAGACCACAGAATCCTGGAGAGTCTAACCAGTGGGCACGAGGTGTAAGAGCAGGTGTTGTGGGGGTGGGTTCCTTCTTCTTTTCTTTTCAAAATAACCAACATCAGTAGTAGGAGTAGCAGCAGCAACAGCCGTAGCTGTTCCTGTTTACTGAGCTCTGACTCAGCAACCGTTTTAAGTACTTTGCCACGGATCCAAATTCTCATGGAAACCCTTCTGGTGAAGAGCTCTGTTATCCCCGGTTTTAGGTAAAAGCAAGTGGGGCACAGACATGTTGAGGAAGTTGCTCAGAGTTACACAGCTGCGATTCGGGCGTGGGCACTCTGGGTCCAGACCTTCCCTCCGAACCACGGAATATTGGGCATTTTCACAGATTCTCAAACACTTGGTGTGTGGCCCGCACTGCGGAGAAACCTACTTCGCTGGTTGGTGCAGACTGAGTGCTGTTTCGGCCTATCGTTGTGTGTCCCTGTTGTGAAAGGCTTTCCCCCCAAAGGTAGAGCACTTCCCTTGAGACCCTCATGTAGTGTCAGCCTCAGAGCCAGAATGCTGGAGGCCATCGTGTCTCCCTCGTCACGGGGGCAGGCCCAGGTGTGCCCCCTGTCACAGGTGACACACGTTGAAATCGTGCATCGCAAACTTACCTTAGGAGGCCGCCCTTGGGAGGAGGGAGCCCTCTGCTTCTCTGCTTGTTGCCACGCAGGAAGTTTATTCGGTTCTTGTGGCTGCTTGTTACTTTTATGCAGGATCTCTCCATTAAAAAAAATTTTTTTTTTTACATTTATTTATTTTTGAGAGACAGAGAGAGACAGAGCACAAGTGGGGGAATGGCAGAGAGAGAGGGGAGACCCAGAATCCGAAACGGGCTCCAGGCTCCGAGCTGTCAGCACAGAGCCTGACTTTCGGGGCTCAGACTCACAAACCGTGAGATCATGACCTGAGCCGAAGTCGGACGCTCAACCCACTGAGCCGCCCAGACACCCCAGAATCGCTCCATTTTTAAATAATTAGCTGCATGTTTGGAAAAAAAAAAAAAAAAAAAGTACCTGCGGGCAGGCCAGAACGTGCCCATGGTCTGCAGGCTTCTAGTTAAAGGGACAGAAAGCTAGCGTCTAACACGAGTGCAAGGGGGTAATTTTCTTTTCCTGGTGTTTTTTTTAGACGTGTGCATGTGTGCTTGTTGTTTTGTTTTTGTTTGTAATTTTCAGTAAGAGAATCTTAACGAATTTTAGCGGGATCATTTACTTTTCTTTTGGTGTGCAGGCCACCCCCGCCCCGGGGTGAATGGCACGGGAACCTTCCTATCTGAAGTGAAATTAGCGAAGCCTCAGCGGACTGAGCACTTTGGTGGTTGATCGGTCAGAGCGAGTCACAACGCCCTGTCTGGTAGATTTACTCCATGGCCACTGAGCTCACCGAATAGAAAGTGTGTCTGAGCTCTAGTGCCAGCTGTCCCCTTATTGGCTGTATGCCTCAGTTTCCTCATCTATGAAAGGGATTTTTTTTTTAAAGCTTATTTATTTATTTTGGAGAGAGAGAAGGGGGGGGCAGGGGTGAGGAATCCCAAGCAGGGATCCCCACATGGGGCTCGAACTCAGGAACCATGCTATCATGACCTGAGTGGCAAGCAAGAGTCTGACACTTGGCTGACTGAGCCGCCTGGGCGGCCCCCGAAAGGAACCGTCCAGTTAGAGCTGGTCTCCCAGGATTAGTATGAAGGTGAAGTGAGTTGATCCAGGGTGCAACACGAGGTGCCTTGTAGTATTTGGTTGCTAGAAAAGTCCATGCTGGTGACAAAACTCAGAGTGGGCTTCGTGGAAATTGGGTCACGGGTTTATTCGACGACTTCCCCCCAGGATCCCCGTGGGGCTCCGGCTAGGCGTGCTAGGCGGCTGGCCTTCTCTCTCCCCGCGCAGCTCTGTCTGATCACGTGACAAATGCTCGCTTTACAGATGCAGATATTGGGGCTCGGCGAGGCTAGGTTACTCGCCTGGGGGGCGGGGGGTGGGGTGTCGCACAGCTGAGCCCCCTCCGAGCCAGGACCCGCACCCGTGTCTGTTGGAATCCCTGTCCTGGACTCCCTTTCCGATCTGGTATGAAAGTCTCCAAGCCCCGGGCGGGGGGTGGGGGGACTAGTGATGCAGCCGATGTCCTCTCCCCTCACCTGGCAGAGCTAACCATGGCGGAGATGCGGCAGAGCCTGGAGCAGGAGCGGGACCGGCTCATTGCCGAGGTGAAGAAGCAGCTGGAGCTAGAGAAGCAGCAGGCGGTGGACGAGACCAAGAAGAAGCAGTGGTGTGCCAACTGCAAGAAGGAGGCCATCTTCTACTGCTGTTGGAACACCAGCTACTGCGACTACCCCTGCCAGCAGGCCCACTGGCCCGAGCACATGAAGTCCTGTACGCAGTCAGGTACGGCCACTCGGGGCCTGCCCTGGCGGGTCTCGCCGGACGACCGTGACCGTCACGCACGAGCGGGCAGCGTGCACGCGCCCGGCAGACGCTCGAGGCACGGCTGTTGTGAACGTGGGGCCTCGTTCAGTTACTTGCCGGACTGTCGTTTCACGTGGCAGTGGTTCTCGGTGCGGTGATTTTGGTCCCCACCCCGAGACACCGGCAGTGACCACAGACGTGTGTGGTCATCCTAACGGAGGGGCGGGCCGCCGGCCTCCGGAGGGCAGAGGCCAGGGATGCTGCTGCCGAACCCCGCGCCGTGCGCCAGACGGGCCCCCCTCCCGCCCCCCTGCAGAAGAATGATCTGGCCCTAAATGTCAGTCGTACTGATACTGAGAAATCCTGCTCTTTAATTATTTTTTTTAAGTTGGTTTATTTCGAGAGAGAGAATATGTTTGCGGGCACGAGTGGTGGAGGGGCAGAGAGAGAGAGACTCCCAAGCAGGTTTCGTGCGGTCAACACAGAGCCCGACTCACGGCTCGTCCCACGCCTCGCGACCTCATGACCTGAGCCGAGATCATGACCTGAGCCGAAATCAAGAGTTTTTACAGTTAGTTTGTATTTCTGACAAACAGTATTAGCTTTATTAGTTTATTACTTTCCATTTTGAAGAATTTAATTTAAAATTACATAAATAGGGGCACCTGGGTGGCTCAGGCAGTGAAGTGTCCGATATCAGCTCAGGTCATGATCTCACTGTTCACAGGATGGAGCCCTGCGTCAGTGTCTGTGCTGACAGCTCGGAGCCTGGAGCCTGCTTCAGATTCTGTGTCTCCCTCTCTCTGCCGCTCCCCTGCTCACTCTCTGTCTCACTGTCTCTCTCTCAAAAATAAGTAAAACGTTAAAAAAAAAAATACATGAATAATACGACAAGGCAGTGTGTCTTTCACACTGGCAAAAATTGGAAGGTGATAGGTGACCACGACTGAGAAGCACTCCAGCGGCCAGGAGTTGGCAAATGCTTTCTGTGAAGGTTCAGAGGATAAATATTTTACGATTTGTTGAAGCTGCTCTACTGTACTGATTTAGGGAGAGGACCATCATAGACAAGGTGTAAGTGGTGGGCGAGGCTTTGTTCCAGTAAAACTTTATTCACAAAAACAGGTAGCACTGGTTTGCCAGCTCTCGCTCTAGAGAGATCTTGTGTATTTCATTATTTTAAAAAGGCAGTATTGAACTGTACGTTGTTGGGTCCTTTGTCCTTTAGGGAGATGTCTTCCTAATGGCTACTTTAAGTCTCTTCTAGCGGTAGAGTTAAATTCTCCTATGTTCTGTAATGTGTCTGATGACCCGTTGTTGTTGTTATGACAAGATGGCCAAAATGTCCTTCAGTTTTCCTTTCTTTGGGGCATCATAATGTCCGTCCTTCTGAAATTCCTCTCAAATGCTCTTTTTCAGTTTGTCCAAGCTCCTACCATCTCCAGAGACTCTGTCTTTGCCATCGTGTCGTTTTTCACATGGGTTTCCCAGCCCTGCCTCGGAAGGAAGGAAGTCTACGGGGATAAAATCGACCTAAAATTAGAAATTGTGAAATGAGTAATTCTAGATCCCCGATTCCAGGCTGGCTCTGCTGATGGGCTTCATTTGTTCTCCCGCCATGCTTTTGGGTCTGGGATGACTTAACAAAACTTGAATTAATGAACTACTAAAAATTCACATATTTTCACACAATGTCTGGAATTTCAGCTTCGGGAAAACTTTGGAGTCCTGGCCACGTTGGGCCTGTTCTCCTGGGTGGGGCTGAGCAGAGGTGCCTCTGTTACGGACAGCGGTTGGGTCAGAGTTGTTCCGAGCGATGGCGTGGCCTCGTGCAGTGCGCGGCTTCCTGTGGTTCTGGAAGCCGTGGCCCTCGGCTTATACGTGCCTTCTCTCTTCCGTTCCCCCCCAGCTACTGCTCCTCAGCAGGAAGCAGACGCCGAGGTAAACACAGAAACACTAAACAAGTCTTCTGGCACACAGGCGGCCCCGACGGATGCCGCCAGCACCTCGAAAGACAAGGAGCCTTCCACGGAGAAAAGCAAGGACAGTGGCTCGGTGAGTAAGCTGCTCGCCTTTGGCCAGTGACACCAACACCGAGGGCCAGGTGGCGTCTCAGGACCTGTCCCCATGCCTGTCTCCTCTGCAAGCCCCATGTTGTGGGAGGTCTGTCTTCGAGGTGGGGCAGTCAGACTGCTGGTGGGGGCGACAGGCTTAGCAGGCCTCCTTTTCACCAGTGGGCATGCGGGCAGGGACAGAGCGACGCGGAGCCCGAGTTGACATTCGTGTGATCCGGCAGCTGCTCTCTGGGGACTCTCAAAGCTTATCACAGTGTTGTCCAGTAGAACCTTCTGTGATGATGGGAGTGTTCTGTGTCTGCTCTGCCCAGTATGGTATCCACTAGCCACACGTGGCTGTTGAGCCCTTGGAGGGTTGGTGTGAGCAGAGACTCTCGCACTTTGACATTTTATTTAATTAATTCAAATACAAGCAGTCACACGGTGCTAATAGCCGCCATATTGGCCAGGAAAGGTCGCACCCCCTACTTCCCAGTGTGTGGCATATGCAACATGGGTCGTCTGCAGAAGGTATTTTCGGTGGCACATTGATCATGTTTTACATGCGTAGTCATCATGTATTTATTTCAGTGTGTCTTAGGAGAAGAATTAAGTTCTTATGCCATCAAAACCCTTTGATTTCATTGACAATATAGCCTGGTAAGAGGTTAATGTGAAATGAAAGTGAGCTGACATAGTTTTGAAGTAATATACCTCCTTTTTGGATGTGGCACAAATCTGGACAGTAGGTAGGTCAGTGAAGGAAGTTGAGGGCACAGTGAATGTTCTAGAAGCTAAGGCTGTAGAGTTGAGTAAGGGCGCACCCCATTGCTGTGTTCCACCCTCTTCATTCTGGGAGACAGAGCACAGGTGTAGGGCCACCCCAGCTGACCTGGCCTCCCCTGCCTGAGCATACCAGGCAGAGGGCACAAAGGTGCCTTGGGGGCAGTGATGAGCACCCCCATGGATCCCTGGGCTTCCCTGGGGGGCTACATTGGCCCCCGTGCCTTGTGTCCATCTCTCTCTTTTTGTATTTTTAGACCCTCGACCTTTCTGGCTCCAGGGAGACGCCCTCCTCCATTCTCTTAGGCTCCAACCAAGGCTCTGGTATGTTGCCCCCTGGTGGGTGAACGGTGCTCTCACATTCCTCACGGGCAGAGGGGAAGCCATTTTCTCAGGGAGATCTTTAAGGGTTTATGGCAGTGGTTTTCCAACCACTGTGGATCCTTAGGGATCTTTGGGGGTGCCCCGGGCAGGTCATTGTGGGGGGGGGTGCGAGGGAGTGGCTGGGCAAGGTAGCTTTCAGGCACCCTCCAAACTGATCAGTATTTACCTCCATTTGTTTTATTTATGGGGGTCCCACATAAAAGAGGGTTCTATTGCTGACCTGGGGTGGGGTAGAGGTGTGCATGTAGCTCGGGCATTTCTTCTGCCCTCGGGGAAATGACCACAGTAAATGAAACCATCTGGAACTCTGTTCCTGAGGTCCCAGCATCCGCAGTTAGTGGATGAGGGCACTTGAGCCTTTAGGGGAAAAGAAACTTTTTAGGTGGATGATGTTTCTGTAGAAACCTTTCTTCTTGGGGAATAACCCAGTAGGCTGTTTTGGGCTGTTTTCTGAGACTGAAATTTTTAGTTTTTCCTCTTACGTGGGGTTTGAGCTACCCTGTGTTCTCGCCCAAAGGGTCATTTTCCTGCATCCTTCTGAGTTTTGGGTGATTCCAGGGGGTTCAAAGAGGGTGCCCCCGTTGAGGACAATTTGCTTACTTGAAGGTCCCTTAGCTCCAGGATCTTTTTCTCCTTTGGATGATTCCCTTAAGCTGAAAGCCGAAAATTTTATTTCCTGTCTCTATTAAGTGCGCCAAGGAAGAAGTTGATGTCCTTTGTTTGCATAGGTGGGGACGATTTCCCCAGGGGGCTGGAGACTAGGATTCAGATGGAGGGCGGGGCTAAGAGGGAGTAGCAGGAGCTGACTTGAGGGAGAATGAGAACTTGGCATTAAATACGATTGAACCGCCTATTGAAAACCTACCTCTCCCTTGCCTTCAGTCCCCTGACTAAATCTCTGAGAACAGTTCAGTTTAGCGCTAAGATGCCTTGCACATCTCTTTGATATTTTCTAGTTTCTCCTTTCCGCAAAGACTTACCTGGACCTTAAGACTACGGTTTGGTTTTCATTATGTGTATTTGTAGAGCTGCCCTCTATCTGTGATGAGGATTTTGGATTTTCTGCCCGCGATCTAGGTAGCAATATACAATTCCTTTTTTATTGAAGTTTAAAATGAGTTTAGAGGAAAAACCTGGAATACGCAGGCTGTAGGAGGGTTGTGGACGGGTCAGAATTGCCCAGGTGGTGTGAGGGAGGCCCAGGGTAGGGGGAACATGGCTTCCGACAGGGGGCGCTGTTGAGGTTTTGAGCAGCGAGGTGGGATAAGCACGGAGCTGGGAACTTTGGAGGGCGGCGTGCAGTATGGAATCTGTCTCATCCAGGGGGACTGCAGACGGGACGCTGGCTGGGAGATCTGCCCTATTGCACTTCTCGGTGACGAGGTATTCCCTAGTCCAGGGGCAGATGTTGGTGACTTGGTACTGGTTGGGTGGAGGCAGAGAAAATAATCTTGGAGGAGTCCCTCGGTGACAGGATGGGGGGGCAGGGACAGGGAGGGGGCGGGATCGGGGAAGGGAGGGAGGGCAAGATCCTGAATTCCGCTTTAGGTTCTTGGAGGATGCGTTGGCGCTAGGCTTTTCGCAGAGGGTTGGAGGCGTGTGAGAGTTTGTTGAGTGTCTCCGGGACCACGTCCTGTGCTAGGGCTGAGGATTTAGGGGTGAACAAGGCAGACAACTCCTGTCTTCTGGAGCTTTTTTTTTTTTTTTTTTTTTTTTTTTAATTTTTTTAACGTTTATTTATTTTTGAGACAGAGACAGACAGAGCATGAACGGGGGAGGGTCAGAAAGAGAGGGAGTCACAGCATCCGAAACAGGCTCCAGGCTCTGAGCGGTCAGCACAGAGCCCGACACGGGGCTCGAACTCAGGGACCACGAGATCATGACCTGAGCCGAAGTCGGACACTCAACCGACTGAGCCACCCAGGCAACCCTGTCATCTGGAGCTTTAAGGGAAGTCAGAAGAGCATTTAATGGGTGCTTAGGAGAAGAGCATGAAGCGGTTGGACACTTCATTGTGTTTATTCCCAACTTCGGTGAGAGAAGTTACTGTTCCCATTATGCAGACGAGGACGTTGAGGCCCAGAGAAGTTAACATACATGCACAAGTAACTCAGTGACTTAACTACTGGAGCCTGGACTTCAGTCTAGAATTCTCTGACCCCACACGTGCTCTCACCCGCTGCGTTGGGAATACTTAAGTTGACCCCTAGGAAATTGTGAGTCAAAAACGGTTGGCTGTTTTGTGTGGCTCAGCTAATAAGGCACCGATGTCTGGGGAAAGTCAGGGCTGTAGATGTGGCTTCTCCCCGCTGCCCCTGCTTCCAGATCTACTAACTGTTTCCTTTCCTCACCTCCCTGCTTCCCCAGCTTGGTTTCCACGGCTCATCCCAGCAGCACCCTCGCTAATGGAACCCAGTCTCCCACACCTTCTGGTTTTCTCCACATGTCCATTTGGCAAAACCTCGCCTTGCTCAGACCCCAGCCATCTATCTCTTAACTCCCCTGCAGCCAGCATTGGAGCTCAGCCAGAGAAGATCACTCGGGACACACTCATTCCACCACACACGCTGATCTTGACCGCTGACCTCAGAAGCACACATTTCCATCTGCCTGGTCATCTTACCAAATTTGTTGCATTTCAGCCTCTGTTTGCACTCTCCACAAGGGCAGCTTCCGCAGTTCTCGGTTTCAAACCTCCCAGCCCGTCCCTCCAATGTCACTGACAGCACATGGCATTGCCTGTTCCTTCCGGGGAGCACAGCCAGGCCCTGCCTCCCCTTCCAGCACCCAGGCCTCCTTCACGCCTTCCTCCAGCCTCGCTGGCCTTTCCGTATCCAGCCTCTGTCATAGCCAGATGTCGTGTTCAGCTGCTTCCTTCCCTAGGCATTTAAATATCCTCCTGTGCCTCCAGCTTCTTTCCTTGACACCCTGCATCTGCCCCTAGAGCGGTGCTCTCCCCTAGAACATTCTGCAGTGATGGCGTGGTTCTGTATCCGCCCTGTTCCCTGTGGTAGCCGCCTGCACACATGGTTGTCGGACCCTTGAACTGTGGCTGACGTAACTGAGGAATAGAATTTAACATTTTATATTACTTTATTTAAATAGCATCGCGGAGCTAGTGGCCACCATACTGAACCAACGGCACGGCCTCCAGGCTGCCCTGCCTCCTTCCCCAGCCCAGGCAGACGTGTCCGTAAGACTCGTTTGGTCCGGTCACCACCGAGCCCTAAGCCCTGAATAACCGCGGACCTTTTAAATTCGAAATGGTGTTTTGAGACCTTGTCTCGCAAAGAGATAAGGTTAGAATCCCAGGTTGTCCTCAGCAGGAGGGACCTTCTCTACGGGTCTTGGCGAAAGGAAGAGGTGCATCCGGGACCACACTCAGGAGGCGTCCGCGTTTCGGACTCGGGACGAGGCGGGACGGAAGGCATATTAGCCGAGGGGGAGCACTATGGTGCTCCCTGTCAGAAACTGGAGGAGAGGGAGTGTTTTCCAGGAAGTGTTGCCGCGACAGCCCAGAGTGTGAGCAGGAGGGAGACCGAGGTGCCCGGGGCCCAGTCAGGACGGTGTCCTCTGTCTTCCCCCTTCCTCTGTTTCTCACCCAAGCCGGTAGTTGTGTCAGAGCAGAAACGCTGACTCTTTCGCTGTCCTCTTCGAACTCCTCGTACGTCTAACTTCCGCCAGCTCTTGATGTTGGTGACCGTGCAGATGAAACCTTGTGGAGGAAGGAGGGCTTTGGACACACCGGGGTTCTCCGTGCCTACTGGTGCCGGGAGGGTGTGGTGAGGAGTCTGGGGGCGGGAGAAAGGTTCCGTGGGGGTACGTGCCTCCTTGCTATTTGCTTGTCTTTTAAGATTTTAGGGGCGCCTGGGTGGCTCAGTCGGGTAAGCATCTGACTCCATTCCTGCTCAGGTCATGATCTCATGGTTTCTGAGTTCAAGCCTCACATCGGGCTCTGTGCTGATAACGTGGAGTCTGCTTGGGATTGTCTCTGTCTCCCTCTCTCTCTTTCTGTGGGCACCCCCCCCCCCCCAAGTAAATAATAGTTTTAAGATTTCGAAGTAAAACACGCGTATCGTTATAGTACAGAGACAGTTCCTAGGCCCTGTCCCCAGTGATGTCCCTGGTACTTCCCTCCTTCCTTACAAATAACGCATGTCCCTGTTGTCCTATTTCTGAGCGTTAGTTTTAGACCTTGCTGGCTGACTTCTGGTTTATGAAGGTGAGGGTTGGGGTCACTGATGACCGCTCTTCTCCCCTTCCTCCCAGATGATGGATGTCACCATTTCTGTGCTCTGGAGGTTCCATGGGTCAAGGACAACACTCATGCTTTCGTTCTGGATTTGAGCGCTAGCGACAGCGACTGTGGACCCCTCTCTCGGCGGTCCCCCCCTCCCCCCACCTCGCACCCCCACCCTGACCGTGTCGAGACCACCCTCTGCTTCGCTGTGACTTCCCTTCCTCGAGGTTGAGAACAGGCGCATTCTGACCCTTAACCGCCCCACGCTCGGCAGTGGGCCAAGCCGGAGAACTTCAGTCCGGGTGCCCGCCATCCTGAGCGTGCTGTGCGTCGCCCGGCCCACCGAATGCCGTGATGACGGTTCCATTCTGGCACGGCTGTGCTCTCTCCTGGAGTTTCTGTTTCCTTCTCTTGTCCTACCTTTCGTGATTTCCCCACCAAGCTCGTCACCGTACCCCTTATTTTATTGAAACTCCTTTCATATCACTAATATCTGGCTCTTCGTTTCCAGACGTTACTTGTTGCGGTCCCATCATCGTGGCTGAGGATCTTGGTCACTCGATACGTCCTCTGTAGCCCCTTCCTCAGTCCTCACCGCGGCACCTTCCTTGCCCTCCCCTCCCGGCCTTGTCCTCGGTCAGGCTTGGCGGTAGAGGAGTTTTCATTCCCCCCAAAGAATCCGGATTCCTTGGGTGCTGTTTCCTGCCTTAGTGTGGTTCTCGCACCTCTGGTTTTGCTGGTCGGGTTAGGCTGTTGGCAGAGCTGGTGGTTCTGAGAATTGCGTTTCCAACATGCTGAAGAATCTGGCCTACAGGGTTGACTTTGCGCCATCGGGTACCTCGCTTCCCGCCTGTAATGCAGCGCTGCGTCCAGTGACCCCTCCGTTCGTGGTTTAAAAATGCCCATTAGGGCAAGAAGCCCTCGTCGCTGTGAGGGCGTCGGGTGGGAGAGTGGCGCGGAGAGAATAGGGCTATCGGTGCCGAGTGCGTAGCGGGTGCCTGGCTTGTGGCGACCTGAGCTCCCTGACGGACACCGAGGCTGCCGGGGCCGCTTCTCTTCAGCCCACGGCAGCTGTGTGGCAAGCAACCCGCCTGCGCCCCGGCCATGCCCCGGCTACCCAGCCCAGAAGGGGAAGTACGGCCCCGCCTCACCGACGCGGCCGGGACCCGCGGAAGCCCCGTGTTGTGCGTGCGTGCGTGCGTCGTCGTCTTGTTTTCTGCTGTCGTTGTGAGCAGCGCGTCTCGCTCTGCCCTCCGCGCTTCTCAGCTGGGCCTCTCGTGGCCGCTGGACACCGCGGTAGGAGACGGGAGCCAGAGTGTACGGTGTGCTTCGTGGAAGGGATCGGCCTTGGCCTTGTCCATAGAGGTCCCGATTCTCCCCTGCGGTGATTGGCCGAACCAGCCAGCGCCCCGTGTCCCGTCTGCGTGAGGGCCCAGGTCCCGTGGACGGTGGCCGGCCCGGGCCGTGGTGCAGGTGCCGTGCTGAGCTCAGGCCCGGTGTCTGCCTTCACCTGACTGCACCGTTGTGGGATTTTTGTCCTGTTGGACGATGACTGAGCGCACCGCTTCCCAGAGACCTTCGAGAAGAACCATCCGTGTAGGCTTCACGGGTAGGGAAGAACCAGGAAGAGGAGGTGGATTCAGGACTGCCTGCCAGAATACTGCCCCCTTTTGGTCACTGATGCAAATGGCCAAAGAGAAGTCTCCCGAATGAACACATCACCTTGGAGACTTTTCTCTCTCTCTCTGCCACTTATCTTCCAAAACAGGAACACGTGACTAAGTGTGCACGTTCCTTGGTACCAGGCGGTAAGAAATGGCATGCCCCGGCTCTGATCTGGTCCCTTTCTCACTCTCATTCTGTCCCCGAGCTTGACTGTTGGCTTCTTTGAATGTTACCATCCCACCTCCAGAAATTTAAAAACAAAATTTCATCCCAGCCTCTCTGAACTTGGCAGATGATCCCAGGCTTGATGGGGCCTTGGCATGCTGACGGGTCCCTTGCCGTCACCCGTGCTGGCCTGAGCTGAGCTGTGTGGCAGCTTACGGACTCCCTCCTCTGCCTCTTCCTTCACCTGCCTTGGATCTTCTCAGCCACGGTTGAGCTTTTTGTGGTCACGCGTCCTCGAAGCTGTCCTGGGTCTTAACTCTGGTTCTGTATCCTCCAGGGACCCTGCAGCCTGTCCCTGATGGGAGTCCGTGGGTGTGTGTGTGTCCAGCTGGACATAATCATTCTGGCCTCTCCCTCCTCCTCCTCCTCCTCTTCCTCCTCCTCCTCTTCCTCTTCCTCCTCTTCCTCTTCCTCCTCTTCCGTGATCCTCTCCCTTAGGTGGTTTGGTTATAGGTCTGCTTTTCGAGTTGTCTGTAAATTGACTGAAGAAATTCTAATATGAGGAAGGAAAAATACCGCCACATTTTGGTGCCTTTTTCCAGCATCTGGCGTGGACACAGAAGCACCTGAGTGCTTGGTGTCCTTCTGTCATGGCCGCGGGTCTGCGGTTCCAGGTACCGCGTGAGAGGTGCCTCCCTGGGCACTTCGGTGCCCTCATCATCCATCTCGATTCTCTGTGACGTGATGCCCTTGTGTTTGTCTAACCGGCCGTAGAGTTGTGCTCTAGAGACCCACGCGCGCTGGGAGGCGGCGGGAGGCCGCCCGGAGGGGAGCCGCGGGGCAGGGGGCCGGGTGGCTCTGCTGCGGTGGAGGTGGCGGGAAGGCTCAACGTCGCTTCTTGTTGCTTCTCCTCCACAGACCATTCCCGGGGCAGTAAGTCTAGTTGCTGGGGCAGCGGCGACGAGAAGCGAGGATCCACACGCTCCGAGCACAACGCCAGTGCCAGTTCGAAGAGCCTCCTCCCGAAAGAGTCTCGGCTGGACACCTTCTGGGACTAGGGACAAGTCACGACACAAGCCACCCACCCCGTGGAGGAAAAAGAAACCAGACACCAGGGCAACAGGAAGCGGCAAGGAAACCTGAGACAGGAGAGCCTCCTTCAGACTTGAGAATTCCAGACACCCCGACTTGGCTTTGGCCCTCGGCACGGAGGGCAGCCCACACTACAGTGCGTCCGGCATTAGCAGTGACTGAGGACTGTTTGACCCACACGAAATCTATGCTTTAGATGTAAATAATGTACAATTTGTGGATGTCATTGAACCTAGAGGACCTTCCCCTTTTTATATTTGTATTGACTTTAACTTATAAAAAAAAAAAAAAAAGAAGAAAGAAAAAGAAAAACGATTAAAAAAACAAGAAACACCCAACCACAAAAGGAATGTTTTGACGTTGGAGGAGGAGGGATGGTTGGTCAGCCCGGCTGTCCCTGTGGCATGGTGACTAGGCCCCAGGATCGCCGTGGCACACGGGCCCTCGTCCTTGGACGCCCCGGGGGAAAGTGAGCCGTTTTCATTCATACGTCTGTATGCAGCACATTGGAATCAGGAGTTTTCGGCACAGAATCTGTGCCGTCGTGGGCACATCACGTCAAGCCATTGGCCCCTTTCCAGTACTACGTTACTGTGTTATAAAATGCAAGCTCTCTGGCCCCGAAGGACAGGGAGAAGCTAGTTTATTTTGTGTGATTTCGGCAATGACTACTCGAAAAGGGAAGAAATCAGGTCCTTGTTTACAGAAGAGACACAGAAGAAGCAAGCCCCGCTCAGCTCGGCCGAAGAGAGCAGAGAAAGTGTTAGGCGTCCTAAGCTCTGGAACAAAGAGGAGTCTTTTCTTTGCTTTGTGGTTCCTTTTACACACACTCACACATACTTGGTAAGAGATGCTGTGCCTCTCGGAAGTGAGAAACTGAAAGGCAGGATGCACGCAGAGGACAGGGGAGTCCGGGATGAAGCATGTATGTATTATTTATACGATGGGATTTTACGTTTTTATGGAAGCATGAAACAAAGGCAGTGGGAGAGAATTGCCAGACACCGGCCACGCTCCCTGTCACACTACGTATACGGTAGTACCATTTTGTATGTTGTGTCGAACAAAACGCATTGAACAAAGCAAAAAGGTGATGTATGTATATGAGAAAATTAACTGTACGGTATCATTCCAGTACATTCTGTTGTATATTTTAGTCCTGTTTACTTTCTCTTCATTGTTGATAAGAGGATGTGAATTGTACAGTTTCCAGCTAGTTCCCCATACATATTAGAGAAGAACTAAAAAGAGAGTATAGAAGAAGAGAGAAAGAACATTTGTGAATTGCAGGTGTCAAAAAAAAAAAAAATAGCCTAGCTGGCCTTATTTGCGAAGCCTAATTGCTTTTAGCATATGGAAGTATTTTTTCACATTTTCTTTGTATAAAATTTGTATTAAACTTAAATATCTTTTTCGATGACGGCGTTTCTTTGTGACTGAGCCAGTGCACTCCCACGGTGTGCTTTTTTGGGTTCCACCCCTCCCCCCGGTTTTTTCAGATTCTTCACCTTTTTTTAATTAAACTGTTTTGGAAAAATGGCTCGGTCGTCCTCAACTTCGCAGTTTTCCATTCGGTCGGGATGGCCGTGTCCGATTCGCACGCCCCAGCACAGGAGTCGGGGCCGTGAGAGCACAGGAAGGATCCCCACGGGCGGTGGGCACACTGGAAGTTAAGGGCCCCCGGTGGGCGTTTTTCCCGGGAAGCCCCGGCTCCTTGGAATTTACTGACAGAGACCGAGAAACTAGGGGGAAATCCTGACCAGTCTTAGCAAGATAGCGAGAGGGGAGGCGATGGTCTTTCTGTGGCTTGGATGGCGGGCCTGAGCTTAGGCGAGCTCCTTGGGGAGCGTGTGACCCCCCCGCTCTGCTCAGGGACACCCCGGTCATTTAACTGTCCTGGGTCACAAGGTGTTTCTTGTTCAACCATTTAAAAATGTAAACCCCATTCTCAGCTCTCCGGCCATACCAAAGCAGGGAATGGGCTGGAGTCAAGCCACAGGTCATGCGCTGACCACTGCTGTGGAAGGAACACGATGGGGATATGTTCAAAGGACCGAGGGCTGACAGGTGGCTGCTCTCACTGGCACTGTTCTGGGGCTTGTCTTTGGAGGTGACCTTTGACCCCAGGTCAGAACGAAGAGCTTGGCTGTGGGAAGATGAGTTGGGTGAGCGTCCCAGACGGGGACCAGTGGGTACGAAGACGCTGTGAGCTTCGCGTGGCTGACGAGCCGCAAGGTGGGGGCGTGGCTGCTCCTTCGGTGTAGAGGGCACCGGACGTCCTGGGGTCTGTGGCCCACCGCGTTCGTGTGGTGTAAGCCAAGCCAGAAGGGGCTGTTCACCATCCTAATGTCACCCGCGATGGGTTTGTCTAGAAATAGGCCCAAAGAAGTAACTAGCTCAGGGGCTCCTGGGTGGCTCAGTTGGTTAGGTGCCTGACTCTTGATTTCAGCTCAAGTCAGTTGGTGAGTTCGAGCTCCGTATCAGGCGCTGCGTTGACAGTGCAGAGCCTGCTTGGGATTCTCTCTCTTTCTCTGCCCCTCCCTTCCTTGCCCTTAGTATCTCTCTCTGTTTCTCTCTCTTTCAAAATAAGTATTAAAAAAAAAAGTAGCTCAAGGCCATGGAGCTGGTGAAAGACTCTAATTGGACTCCTATTAAAGTGCTCTTTCTAGTAAATGGGCATTGTCTTTTTTTGAGTTAAAAAATTTGTTCGGCTTCCTTTCATTGGGCACGGATGGGCACCCTCCCTTATCATTTGAAGTCCACAGACGGGCGGGGGACACAGCCCCCTTTAGGGGAAGAGGCAGAGGCTGTGAGCAGGACCGCACTGTCGCCCCGTTTTTTTAGCTCCAGCAAGCCGGCTCCAGCCTCGGCCCCCGGGGCCCTTGCACTTGCTGTGCCCTTGGCCTGGCACACCCTCTGTCGCTGGCATCAGCTTTCAGACGTCACCTCTTGAAGCAGCCACTCCCCTCCCCCGATTATCCTCTGTCTCTTCCTGGTTTTCATGTCCTTGAGCAAAGTTCATACATATTTATGACTTCCCACTCAAACGTGAGCTCTGTGAGGGGAAGGCTGATCCGGTCACTGCTGTGTCCCGAGAGCTTGGAAGGACACAGAGCTCCTAGAGTTAGGGTGACATTTGAGCAGGGACACCTCGGCCCCCGGACCCTGCCCCCAGCGGTCACCGCTGCAGCCTCCCAGAGAGGATAGACACCAGAGGATAACATGGCTTACAAAGCGGTAGAGAAACCGGTGCCTTTAAAAAAATTTTGAATTTGCTATTTATGGGGCTAGGTCCATGCCTCAAATTTGAAAAACCACGGGTGTGCTCCCAGCCTCACTGGCTCTCCCAGGGACCCCTCCTCCGCATCCCTCAGTCTGTATTTACAGACCCTCGCGGGGAGGCAGGTTTCCTTCCTTTTGGAACAGAAACGGGCAGCACCTGACCCCTGACCTGATGTGTTGTTTTTCTTTTTTACTTAACCTGAGGTCTCCGGCTTTGTTCCCTAAGGCTCAGGTCTGGGGCCCCTTTGTTCCCCTGTGGACACGTGACCCTGGGATGTAAGAAGACCGTGCATGTCACAGCCTCCAGTGCACGGGTCCTCGGTCCCAAACAGTGGCCCCGGGGTCCCCGAGGCTGCACCAGAGGGTCTGTGAGTGGCTAGGCGAGAGGAGGAGGACTTGGGAGGACAGGGCTGCAGGGCCTTCCTCTCTGGCTTTAGTCCCGGTCGAGTGTCTGCCGATGCCCGATGACTTTGAATCTACAAAGGAGAAGAAGGAAGACACAGTGGGGTCCGCCACGGCCATGGCCCTGGCCCTCGCTACTTTGACCAGTGGCCTGACGTGGGGGCAGGGCCTGCTGCCGCGGCCTGGAACGCGATTGGGCTCTCTCGCCACCTGGTGGCCGCCGCCTAGAACTGCAGCCCCACAGAGCCCGAGCAGGACCACCGGGGACAGAGAGAAGCTGGGCCAAAGTTCATTCGGGTGACAGCTGCTTCCCCGGACACGGCATGAACTAAGCACTGAGGACACAGCACTGAACGGCCTCTCTCCTCCTCCCTCTGACACTCTCCACGGGAAGCAAATACGCATACGATGCAGTCCTAGGCCGGACGGTGTTGCATCAGGTGAGTAAGGGAGGCAGGGTGTGATTGGGCACGGCCCCCCCAGGGAGCTGGACGGCGAGCAGCAACCTGAAGGAGGGGTACCGAGCCGTGACGACGAGGGCAGCGGTCGTTAATGCTGGCAGATCATTAGAAGCACCCAGCAAGATGTGAAATAAACCGGTGACTGGTGAGACCCTACCTGCCATCCCGGAATAACGACCTCCCACTCCCGGAGGTGGGGCTTGGGCGTCTGTCACGGAAGGCTGCTCAGTGATCCTAAGGCGCAGCAGAGCCGAGAGCTGCTAACATCCCGGGCAGAAGGAAGAAGGCACGCAAGAGGCCTGAGGCGGGGACCCGGCCTCTTGCGGGGAGGGAAGGCCGGCCAGGGAGTCCAGAATGGAGGGATCCCAGGTGGGGACGGGGGCGATGAGCTCAGAGAGGGAGAGAAGTTGGGGGTTTGCACCGTGCTCCAAAAAGGAGGGGAAGCCATGTGGGCGGTTTAACAGCTTTATTGAGTTGCAATTCACATACCGTACGATCTACCCACTTGAAGTGTGTAATTCAATGATTTTTGGTATAGTACATTATTGATTTCTTTAAAAAAAAAAAGTAAAATACAACAAACGTTGCCCTTTTAACCATTTAAAGAAATGTTTATTTTTGACAGAATGCACACAGAGGCACAAGTGGGGGAGGGGCAGAGAGAGAGGGAGACGAGAATCTCACGCAGGCTCCGTCCCTGATGTCAGTGCAGAGCCCAGCGCGGCGCCTGTTCTCACGGTTTGTGAGATCACGACCTGAGCTGAAATCCGGAGTCAGACGCCGAACTGACTGAGCCACCCGGCGCCTCCTGCCCTTTTAACCGTTTTTAAATTTACAATTGAGTGGCATTAATCAGAGTTGTGTTTCAAACAGAGAAATGTTTTCCAGACTTCAACTTTCATACCAGGGCACATCAGGACACCATCGACATTATTATTTACTTTCTTTAATCCAAGGGAAGCAAAGATCACCCATGTACCTTCCAGCATCACTGGGGCGGGCTCCCCCCCCCCCCCCCCCCCCCGCCCCCATGCTGAGCCCTGAGCTGAGGTTTCCCGTGCTGTAATCTTTAGGTCTTCTGATCACTCCATGGGGCAGGATGGGGAATGCGACTTGCCCACAGTCACATAGCAGGTCAGTGCCAGAGCCAGGGTTCAAACTGGACCACCTGCTTCCCGAATGAGCACCGTGACCCATCGAATGAAACTGCCCCAGTGTCTGGGGGCACCATGGTCAGTTTACAAAATGCCTTCTGGGCCCCCTTTCCCTGACTCCCCTCAACTGTCCACGAGGTGGGGATTGTTCTGCTCCTAGTGCAGCTTGGGAAACTGAGACTCAAGGGTTCAGGGCGTTGGGTTGTTGTTGTATTTAACATTTATTTATTTTTGAGAGAGAGAGAGAGAGAGAGAGAGAGAGAGAGAGAGAGAGCGTGAATGGGGTCGGGGCAGAGAGAGAGGGAGACACAGAATCCGAAGCAGGCTCCAGGCTCCAAGCTGTTAACACAGAGCCTGATGTGGGGCTCGAACTCATGAACCATGAGATCATGACCTGAGCCAAAACCAAGAGTCAGATGCTTAACCGACTGAGCCACCCAGGCGCCCCTAAATGTGGTCAGGTTTTTAGTTGCAAACAACACTCTACCTAATCTGAGCAGGAAAGGAGTTTATAAAAGGGCATTATGTGATTCACAGATCTCCAGGAGGGAGGGCCAGAGAGACTGGCTAGGAGACTGCACAGCCACAAACAACGTCCAGGTTACATGGCAGGACGTTCCCGTCACTGTCACTGGGCCCAGACATTACAACTGTCACCAGTGACATGGGGCATGTCCCGTCTGCCTCCTTGCTAGATTGCATCCCGCACTTCCGAATGCACTTTGCAGAATTCCATGGCTTCGTCATCTGGATCGGGTAAACCCAGGTTGCCCTGGGTCTGAATGCAAATACCATTTGGAGGGTATTTGATTGGCTGAGTCTGCAGCTGGCTGTATCTGATTGGTTGGGTCTAGGTCACATGCTTACGTTGCAACTGCAAGGAAGGCTGGGAAGGTGAGATTCAGGTTGCTTCGGCTGCAGGCTCCTAAGGTAGGAAATTGTGCAAACAAAAGGCCTTGGGTTGACAAAAACATCGATAGCCGCCACCGCAGAATTGCCCACAGTCTCTGTCAGGTCAGTTGTCGAGAGCAGAATTCACCCAGCCAGGTAGAGCGCGAGGGTTTCATGAGCAAACCCGTCTGTAGTGCGACTTGAGTCAAGCGGGTGGGGCTGGAACTACGTTTCCCAGAATCCCTTTCCTTGAAGGGTGCGGAGCTGGAATTGACCAAAAGAGGAACTTGGGTGAGCTTTTGAAGGCGGAAGGGGAGCAGCCGTCTCTTCTCTTGCAAGGTCGCTGTGG